CTTTTAAATTTTGATGTACAAGTGTACAACTAATATAGCTCTATAGACTATAGTCTTATATTTTGTAAATTTGTTTACTGATTTAAGTAATGATATAATATGTAATTTGTCACTGACTCTTTTTTTGGAAATTTACATGAACAAGTACCTTTGTTTGATAAAACTCTTTTTGGGACAAAGAGTGCATTCATCCTTATTGAATTTTGTGCTTCTTTATCCAGTTTCCTTTATAGATGTGTTTCATGATATTTTTTATACAGAGGGCCTATAGGCATATAGACAGGAATATTGAAAAATAATTCTTCCAATATCACTATCCTTTTTAATACATTCTAAGCAGTTTTTGCTATGCCTATATACGTAATCATGTTAGTTCAAATGAGAAGTACATCTAGAGAGAAATAACTCAAAAAAGAATTAATGTGGTACATAATCATCAAGATCTAGGGGCTTAAAAAGATCCACAATGCAGAAAAACTGATCATGATGTGATAGCAGTTCTGTAATGAAGTGGCTTTCTGCTACCACAACTGTGTACTGCAATGAACAAAGTGCATTTTGCATGAGATATGCACTTCTTACAGGAAGCACACCATATATGTATATGTATCTGTATGTACGTACGTATTTGGCAATGATCTCATAGGTTAGACATACAGAATTCTGTCTGGTCCAAGATGGTTCCAACCGTTTGATCACCTATTGGTTGGGATTATTTCTCTCATTGGACTTCCCCATCTATTTTCGAACTCAATCCATAATAGTCACATAAGTTGAACAATATCAGCTAGATCGGTTTGGCGAGGAGATGTAGTCTAAAAAGAGCAATAAAATCCGAGTCTTTATGTGATGCTGGTCAAAATGAATTTTGTCTCAACTGGAATCTGTTGGTTCGATCTGATTTCGATTTGACCATTCACTCCCCTCACTCTAATATGAGAGAGCCATTTTTTCTGTAAAATCATAATATTGTAGATTGCATGAGCTCACTCACTGATTCATTTTCTTCAACTCTTGCATCACAGCCAAACATGGAAGGAGGGCGTAACTGTTATTCTGATGAACACTATTTACCAACCTTCTTTTATGTAAGTGACTATTACAGTTTTTATCCATGTGAACATTTTTTGGAATTAGAAGTAGGAGAATACATGGTTGTTGAGAAGACGTATCATTATGTGAAATATTTTTATGGCATTAGTTGATATACATTGGGATTTACTATTATGACTGCTGTTTTTTTGTATTCCAACAAACTATAGATAATCTTGAAGTTTTATTTCTGTTGCATTTTCCAGATGCTTGATTCTTCTGGAATTGCAAATTGGTCAGTTACACATGTTGATTGGTCTGAGAGAAAGTGGCACCCCAAATCATACGCCGCCCGTGATATTACTTACGAGCTCATGAAAAACATTACGGTATGCCTGTTTTTCCTTGACCTTTCCATACCATGTAGTCATGCACATGTAATTTTCATGTTTGCTTCCATGTGTTTGATGCACACTTCATTGTAATTTCGAAGTTGTTTGTGGGTACAACTTTCTTCAAAAGTCTCATAAATAAATAAATAATCTTGTAAGTTTGACACCTCTACCGGGATCCTTCATTTCGCCTACACAACAATTGCATTTATGATCTATAATCGTTATAATATGATTTTAATGCCATGCAGTGGTTTTCTTTCCTAATTAGAAATGACATTTCTGGCTTTTTGCCATAGGTACACATGACACGTTCTTAACACCTTTCCCTCTGTTTTTGCAGTCCATTACTGAGAGTGTACACGTGGGAAGTGATTCAAGGGTATTGTTTTTTTGTTTGTTTTCATAGGAGATATAATTGACGTGTTAGGTTGTTTTCTTTTCTTATTCTTCCTCTTAATTTGTGTTGCAGAAGGAAGTGCAAACCATGCCTTGTTTATGGAATGGAAATCAACGACCCTGTTACCTCTTTGGGAGGAAGTTCCTACCAGAAGCTCTTGATAACTTGATGCAACTTTTCCCAAATTATACCTCTATTTGAATGCGGGATTGATGTATGTAAGAAAAATTCTTTGGTCAATCCAATTTGACCCGTTCTGCATTTCTCATGTATCGCTGCTATTGTAAAGTGCCCCCACGGTATGGAAAGCTTGAGTGGTCAAAACCTAGCAAGCGCTCTACTTGTGGAGGGAGGACCCAGGATACTGGATACATATAATGATTCAACAAGCCCAGGAAAGTTGGTAGTCCTTTGCTGGGGGCATTGGTATTTTGTGTTATTTTTTAACGCCTATATTTTGGGCTATTTATGTCATTAGTATTTGGACAAAATTGTTGAGGAGTCAACTCCCGCCCGTGTATGGTCAAATTTGTGAAGTTCTGTACATTGCCCAGCTATGACATTGAAATCTTCCTTGATGTATTTATTACTCATTTCAAAGAGTTATAAAATCCCATGTAATGTTGCTGAGTATGACAGACTTCAAGCTGGTGTAACATGTTTGCAGACATGCAATTAAATGATCAATTGTTGGGATAAAGTGACACTTGAATGCCAAAGTTTTCTATATACCTATAAAACACGGTCTATGCAAACCCAGACCTTGTTTTTGGCTATTAGTGGAGTGTCAATTCCAGTTTTGGACTTCAGTAGGCATTACTTTATACTTCATCTGTCTTAAATTAAACCCCTAATTGACATTTGACAAATGCCAAGGAAGTGAAAAGTCTAGTTCAAATTTATGAGATAAACTAAATAAGACTCCGTATGAAACTATGAATCACACAATGCTTTCATTTAAAGAAAATAGAAGATTGTTTTGAAACAGGTTAAAGATGTTTTTAATGGGATTGAAAATTTTTAATGTTTAGGTTTAGTATAAATTTTTTTGGTAGATGCATGTTTTGTACTTTACTATTGTCTAATTGATGGTCTTTTTAACTTTGAAGCGAATATGTGTCAATTAAAGGGTGTTTGGAATTGATTCTGCTTCTGCTTCTTTTTTAAAGCAGAATTAGAATCAGTTTTCAGAAGCTGATCACCCTCAACTTCTAAAAAAACTGATTCTAGGAGTAAATTAGAGCACCAGAATCACTTCTGCATTTTCACCCAAACACTCCAGCTTCTGCTTTCCCTCCCTGAAAACACCCCCTGAAGCAGGTTTAAGAATCAGATCCAAACACCCCTAAAAACATGATGTATTCATGAATGGACTAACACATTAGTATTTATTAAAACACGTACTAGCTGTGGCTGTGTAAAATTTAGGCACCTAATTGCTTAATGGTCTTACACTGTTACTGTTGACCCATTTACGTACTTTAAGAGTTTAAGGGATGCCCCTTGAAGTATGCGTCAAGTTAAAAACTTTATATTACGGAGCATTAGGATTGCCCCTTGCATTATATGAAGCCATTAAGGGATGCTTTAGACCTTAGGAACGGAATCATCTTCATCTTGGAAGCACACTGCACACCTATGTTAAGAAATTACTCCCTTTACTCCCTTTATCTTGAGTTAAAAGCTGTTGTTCATAGTCTCATCCATTTGGACAAATTTAAACTACACCTTTAACTTTTTTAATACGCTAAATTATTAGATCAAGTCATCAAACAAGAAATCTCATCGAGAGTCAGATGGAATATGTAAAAGGTTTCTCCACTTATCAATTTATCATTAGTGTTCTTTCCTATTTGTATAGAGTGTATTTTTATGACATTATTAGCCATTTTATGTCGGGTAAATCACTGAAAAAGTCAAATTTATATCCACGGAGAGAATACTCTTATCCTTAATGGTCCAGATATAAGCTAGGCAAGAATATTAGGATCTTCATACAGTATTATATATATAAAGGCTCATTCCTAGGGGTCCCTTAGAACTGGCCGGACAATTTATTAGGAGGGTTAAATTGAGTTACAATTATTGTAACTCATTGTGACGTGCATCTCAAAAATAAGTTCTCACACTCGTTTCGTTCAATTCTTTGATGTCTCTCTACTTACACATTAGGATTATGACCAATGCAAATCAACTTGACGATGTAGTGAACTTAGAGGTTGTTTGTTTTTTGGCGTTTTCGGCTCAAAAACGTTGAAAATACCAATGTTTTCTTTGTTAAAAGAATGACGTTTTGCCCAATAGGCCACTACCCACCGTCTTAGTCTCTAAAGAATCTCTCACCCTGTAAGGGATCTTTTAGTGCTTCATGTAAAACTTTTAATGCCTTTATCAATAAAAGACTTTTTTTAAGTTAATCACTTAATTGTGTTGCTCTTTTGAATTCAAGGAACTCTAAATCATAGGGAGTCCTTGTTGGTAAAATTAGAGTATTCTTAGGACAGTAACATCCCATTTCAAGCTTCTAACAGGTTCGTGGGCTATTCCGGTCATTAATCCGTAATTATGCAATGGACCAAGTACCTAATCAATTATACCATTTTGTTCTTTCTTTGGTCATCCCCTGTCATATTCTACTTTAATTCCTTTTCAAGAACTAAACAAACTAATTTTTTTTAATTACTATTAGAGTCTTAACTAATTATGTTGGCATTCCTTAGATTAAATTTATTTTTCTAACGTTTTTGCCCTATCTTGCAGGTTAGATTTCTCAGTTGCCTGTTAAAAGAGAGCCAGAGAGGTATGTAACAAGAAATATACAAACACCCAAAAGCATGCATTCTAAATATGCACAAACCCATTCTTTTCCAAGATAAACATTAACAAGTCTATAACATAAACATGACAAATTATTGTGATCGAGATTTTTATATAATTAGTAAGTTTGTACGTGGGAGAAACTCGTTATGAATTTGATCATTAATATCTTTCATTCCTTATTCGTAAAAAATAAAAAAAATTAGATTTTGAAAATTTAAAATGAAAGGAATTTAACAATATCGAATTTAATTTCAATACATTAATAAATATAATAAAATGTAATCAAAGTAGAATTATAAATAGTGTAAAATCACCCATGTGACAACTAAAAAGATCAGAGAACCGAGGTAAAAAAAAAACTATGCCATCATATTCATACGTGAATATCAACCAATGACAAAGTAATCTGATAATGTATTATTTCCATGTCTGAATAGAATATTCAAATTTAAAATATACACTCTAACAATGAAGAGTTTAATTGAGTACAAAATGTTGATCTTGACATATACAAGTATACAACGTCCAATGGGTCAATATTGATGAGACAATGACTTAGAACGATATTGATGATGAGATTTAGCTAGGCTGGTCCAATAACTATGTGTGCTTCTGATCCATTTCCAATGTACCATATATCCAATATCTCAAGCTACAAATAGGTGAAGTGACAACCATCATAACCTGTCCGGGTGGTCAAGATATTAAGAGGTATCAAACCCAAGTTGTAATTTTCAGAAATTATGAAAACATTTATTCAATATTCTAGTATACTTTATAATAGCATTAGTAATAATACCAAGTGTTTTAAAAGGCGGGGTCTAGACGCGATTAGGCGTGAGACGATGGGAAAACACCTCACAGAGTAAAAAGACGAAAGTCACATACTGAAGAGTTGATCACTAAAGACATGAAAATGTGTAAACCTAGACGTGAAAAGACGAAAGTCTTTTAGATGAATTATTTCTTGCAAAAAAATGGATTAAATTAAAAAAACACATATATATATGAAATCTAATACTGTACGTAGTAAAAAGTAACAATACATCATTTTCTATTTGCACTTTTTGTACATGTAAAATTATACATATTGAACAAACTAAAAATTAAGCTCAACTTTATATATTATCTTTTGAAAATTTAATCTTGTTTCTTCATATATCATCATAAAATAGAAATTATCAATAGAAATTGAAAATGCCTTTTCCGAGCCTCACGCCTTTTAAAACACCGATAATACCGAGTATTAATAATCTACCCTTCCATTATCATCCTATCCGCGAAAATAAATATAATTGTAATATATCCAAGAATAACGATGATAGTAGTATATTTAATACGGAGTAATGTTTACTCTCCGTCCTGTTCTTCACTTCAGCTTTTCACTTATTTTTCAGATATGAATTATTGGGACATGAAATTTAATAATGGGTGAAGATAATTTAATAATTCATTAGAAGATTAAATTTAGCAGTTCATGCATGAGGATAATATTGATCCCTTTGAAAATGAAATTTCATAATACATTTGCATAATATTGGCTCTTTCGTATGAATATTCAAGTCAAACATGGCCTGCATTACTTGTACGTGTAGATAAAATCACTTCAAATTTATCATAAAAACTCAACAACAGATAAAAATCACTTTAAAAATCACTTTAAATTTATCACTTTAAAAATCACTTTAAATTCATAAAGATAATAAAATCACTAAAAATTTAACACTTTAAAAATCACTTTAAATTCATAACTAAAACACTCGTCAAAATCATAAGACATTATCCCCTAAAACAAATGACAATTTGCATGTTGTTATGATGTTATCAATGGGTTTGATTTACTTTAAATTTTTTTATACACTTTTTATATTGGAAAAATTGAAAATAATAATCTCAACTATTGCCGATCCGCTGATCATAATCCCAACTATTGATTATTTTTGTATAATTATCCCAACTATAAGGACCGTCCGCCAATGGCCCAATAATGGTATATGACCAGATATTACCTCCTAAAAAAGTGAATTTTTAATAGAAATTAAGTGTAAAAATTAAAGGTTAGGATTATTTATAGGGATTACTTGTTATATCTCTCCTCACCCATTTTAAAAACTACACGAATTTATATATAGGGACCATTATTGGCGGAAGGTCTCTAAAGTTGGAATTATTCTGAAATAATCGATAGTTGAGATTATTATAATTAAGCGGACCGCCAATAGTTGAGATTATTACTATCAATTTTTCCTTTTATATTTTGTTTTAGGCCGGGGATATGAAAAATGAAAAAAATACACTAAACTCATTTAACTCAACTAAAATTTAATAGTAACATGAGTATGATTCTCCATACTCATTTCCTATTCAACCATCTAAAGTCTAAACTCATTTCCTATTAAAAAAATCCACATTCATATGATTATTAGGAGCTTAAGTTGATAATGTGATAGTTGCTTATGAGAGTATGTTTGTATAATACTACATATTGATTGCTGGGTAAGATTATTGATTGGAATAATTCAAGATCAAAATATGAATTCATATTATTTCAAGACTATTTTAAAAATATATGCAATATGTTAGTGCATGATCAAGCAAATATGAGATTCTTTCAGAATGTTGGTAGGAAGTTATATAGAATTTTGAGATAAATAAATACTTAATTATGTGACAATAAAACAACCTATTTTTGGAGATCATTTGAGATGTTCTAATGTTCATGCACTTCATTTTAGACTGTTTTTAGAGCATCTCCAATGCTACAATGTGCACGGTGCACATGTGGCATGAGAGAGATAGACACAAAATGTTGATTTTGTGACATTTCTTTCTATGTCTTTCCACGGTCTTATGTGTTTTTGGTAAGTTTTTCTCTGCAATGTGAACCACAATGTCTACATCTAGACATTGTGCTTGACATTGTGATGAAAAACTTACCAAAATGACATAAGATCCTTCAAATAAGGAGAGATATTTTATTTATTGTTTTTTGATTGGCTATCTTCCATGCCTCGTATGCACCGTTACCGTATTAGCATTGAAGATGCTCTTAGAGCAACTCCATTGATGATACTCAAATAAACGATTTTTTTGTGCCACATCATTGCCACATATGAAATCATAAATGATATGAAATATTGTTAACTTTCTCTCAATCATGATTTTAGATTATTGTGATTTTTGTATAAAAAGTATTAAAAGAGTCTCTCTCATACAAACACATGTTTGAACGTCTAGAAATTAATGCACCAAGCCACCAAGGTTTTTTTTTAAAGAAAGCTACCAACACGTATAGTTACTTTGTTTTCTCCAATTTAATTTTTTTCTTTTATTCAAGTCATGAGTTGTACTATAAAAAATAATCCAACAAAAAATGTTACTGAAAATCATAACCATTCAATTTTATTAATCACATATATTAATATATATGTATTTTTAATATGTATTTATAACCATTTCTTTTGTGGGTGCCTATTATTATTTAAATTTAAAAAATGCTAATTCAATTATTGCAATCTTTTAAAATTAAAAGATAATACATACCTTTTAAATTGATGATGCATGCTATTCAAAAAAATGGAGCTACGTGCTATTCAAAAAAATTGAAGATACGTGCTATTAAAAAAATGAAGCTGCATATCATTTTTTTAATCAAATAATTTTTTTAAATGAACATGTACTACAGGTAGTATGGAGGAGCAAGACTTTGCTAATTGCTACTAACTACTTACCATGAAAAGAATTAGAGGTAAATAAGGAAACAAGCACACGGTTATCCCAATTTTCTATATATGTTGGAGAAATCATTTAAAATAATGTGGTTTCAAAACTTGATGCTGGATTTTTTTTACAAATAATCTTTGCAAATAATTTCTTTATCTCAATCATAATCTCAAAAAAATCAGCCACCTCATCAAATTAATCTCTAAATAATCTAAACAATGGGGTTGCTCTTAGAAAGTGATGTCGTACCATCAATTTTATTTAAAAAAACGCTCCATAAATAAATGGGAAAGAACTACTTAATTGGAAGGGAGAGAATATTATCTTAAATATCCTACCTATCATCCCATCTACTTTTTTTTAAAATATACTATCGTACATATATACAAATTCAATGCATATACGATAACATGATACGGACTATTACGGAGTATATGTTTATAGTACGCAATACTAAAGAATTAATAGGAATCGAGTAATTAATCATGAAAGAGTAACACTTATTTTGGAGCCTTATTTTATGCTAAGTTCGTCCAAAAATTAGATATTTGCTTTCTTTAAAATTTTAATACACTTATTAAAAAAGTATTTGATGATTGCAAAAAAAGAACGTTAGATAGGGCCTTTGGATTTTTGCATTGTTTTAATACATTATTAGTTGATCAAGTATTTGACGCAGGCAAAAAAACTTAGAAGCTAATTGGGTTTTAAAATGAGGTATATTATGCTTAAAATAAGTGTGTCAGTTTTCTTAAAGGGTTTTTTATAAGAATATTACTACAATAAAACTTATTTATATAAATAAATATGACTATTCATTACTACAATGTAGTGTTGTGGTAACTTACGTTCATAACTTGAACATGAATTACTATGATTTCATTACTACTATAGTAACTAGTCATATTTTTGTAAAACATTTGTATTTTGGTCATATTTATGCAATTATTTCTTTCTGAGGGTTTTCCTTAAATATAACTAACAAAACAAATAATGGACAAAAAAGTCATTTAGTAACTTTTAGTGACTATAGTTATGTTAAAAATTTACATCATAGTAAATACACCGTAGTAACTTTGAATACAATTATAGTTACTAAAAGTTAGTAAGTCTCATTTTTGTCCAACACTTTTCTAGGAGTAATATTAGTGTATGTTTTCCAAAATTAAATAGATTTGTTTGGCAATGCAGTTGAAATAAAGATCGATAATGTTAAATTATCATAAAAATAAATGTTTTATTTTAATATAAACAAGAAAAAATTAAATAATGGGAGGGTAAATTTGACATAAGCTTGCGATAAAATAAAAGACTTATTCTCAAGCGTTACAATAGTAACAAATCAAATGTTCAATTTTAAATTCCGTTAAGATCAGTTTTTCATCCAAACAGGACAACATGTAATCTAAATTGTCTATATCTATCAAATCCAATTTGAACAAATCACATATACTAGATTTTACAAACTAGAACTATGATTTCATTTCAAGTTAGAACTTAGAACTATGTTTCTATTTGATATTATTTTGATAGGGTTAAGATGTTTTCATTTCAATTGAAATTTGAAGATCTAAATTAAACTAATCATTTGTTTTTTTTTTAAGTTTGATCTAATCTAACGTGTTTAGCTTTTGTCTAGTCTGGTACTCTGGTCTCAATTTGTAAAATCTAGTATATGTGATTTGTTCAAATTGGATTTGGACAATATAAACTTGTGTAGTAGTCTTTGATTGAAATCGATCAGTTTAACACAAAACATCAATATTAAAAGTATTTTGAATTCAGCAAATAAAACCTCGAAGCTAATTAGGTAAAAGGTGAAATACCATACTCACTTTCTTTACACAATTCTAAAAAAAAGGATGACACCCCATCCTAGAGAGTCCCCCAGTATCGGCCGGACAGTTAGCCAAGAGGATGTAAGTTGGACTTTACTCACAAGTTGGCAGATAGAGAGTGATGCTCTAACCCTAGTACTTGCCCTATGCATTTTTAGCATAGTAACTTGTCATCGCAATTGCCATAATTTGAACCTGAGACTTACCCCTATGGCACCCCTTATCTACCAGTTGAGCTGAGCTGAGCCCACCAGCTTCTTTACACAATTCTTTTTATACTGTAATTGTTTTCCGGAAAGAAAAACGAAGATGAAGAAATACTTACTTGGATCAACAGTAACGAGCATGGCGGTGCTTCCGAATTCACAGGTACCGCCAGCCTGCTTTGTTCTCTGCCAATAGCTATTAAACGCAAACGAAGCGTGTGCGAACAGTGTATCCGGCTGATAACACGACCCTTTCGGCAGAATCTGATCGCAGTCCGCCCCGGATGCGCAAGCGTAGTTCATCGCCTCCTCTATTATCGGATCCGGAACCGACGGCTTCGCCACGCACCACAGAGCTGTCGGCGGCGTGGTCGACGGAGCCGGCGGCCCCAACGGCGGCGGGTACACAACTGGCGGCAGGAACGGGCTGGGCAAGCGACCTGTTGGCGGCGGGACACTTACGCGTGGGCTGGGCCCATACGATGGTGGACTTAAAATAGGCTGAGTTTGGCCCGGCGCGGAATTAGGTGGGCTAAGAACTGGTTCTACTGGGCTCGGGTTAAAGCTCGGTGGGCTTAAAGCAGGCTGAGTTGGGCTTGGGACGACTTGAGGCGGGCTGAAAACAGGCTGAAATGGACTCGGAATAGATTGAGGTGGACTTTCAACAGGTTGAACTGGACTTGGAACAGATTGAGGTGGGCTTTTAACAGGTTCAGCTGGGCTTGGAACAGATTGGGGTGGACTTTTAACAGGTTCAATTGGGCTTGGAACAGATTGAGGTGGACTTTTAACAGGTTCAACTGGGCTTGGAACTGATTGAGGTGGACTATTAACAGGTTCAACTGGGCTGGGAACAGATTGAGGTGGACTTCTAACTGGTTCAACTGGGCTCGGGACAGATTGAGGTGGGCTTGTGACAGGTTCAATTGGACTCGGGACAGTTTGCGGTGGACTCCCTACAGGTTCGATTGGGCTGGGGACAGTTATTGGCGGGCTTAGAGCAGGCTCATTAGGGCTTGGGCCGGTTTGAGGCGGGTTGAAATTAGGCGAAGTTGGGCTCGGCGGTGAAGTAGTTGACGGAGGAGGGAGTAGGTAAGGAGAGTACGGAGGTGGAGAATAGGCGCAATAGGCGGAGGCAGGGGAGATTTCCGGCGAGGGATCCGGAGCGAGAGAGTCAAATGGTGGTAAATTCAACGGGGAACTCACACCGTACCATTGAGAATTTGAATAGGAAGAAGAATCGTCCCCCGTCGACAGGTATACATCGAACCGCTTCGTTATCTCTGATTGAATAGAAGATTCACCTGAAGCTTTTCTTACCTCTTTAAGTAAAACAAAAACAAACATATGTCATCAATCAGTATAGGAAATGACAATTATGAATTTATGATGCTAAACAGCTTCAGTCAAGAGGAAAACTTCATTCATCACTCATCAATAAAGAGAAGAATCTGGAAATTAGAACTTTATTTTGTAATTTTTTCCGGTAATGAGGTGGTTATATTCCTTTATAAATATGAACTAATTAATTGATACATCATCAAAAAGAATAATGTATTCTTTTACAAATTATTTAAAATTATAGGTTTTGCACTTAGTTGTCCCTATTAAAAAGAATAAGTCTAGTTTTACATTTGGTGTGTACATTCTTAATTAACATGTGTTCATTGAGGAGCAAAAAGTGAGACTACTTCTCATTACCTGATAAACACTTACCAAATATGAATGTACCCAATGAATGTAAATTTAGAAAGATTTTATTATAAATTATGTATATAAAGTGACTGGTATGATTATATGTATTAAAAACCCGTCCGTTGCAAATAACATGCTGTTTTATATTATCCGCGACACATTCTATAGTATAAGGCAATTAACAATCCCTATACTATATAGCCGGTTGGATACTTGTATTATGTGTTACATGAATCTAACCTAATTTTAGAAGTCTAAAAAGTCCTAAGCCCAATTTAAAATACAGTGTGAATAGTTGTTACAACTATTTTGCTCATTGTTTGTAAAGTTATGAAAATCTGCAATTTTCTAACCACTATACTCATTTTAGTATAGTATAAAAATTCATTTCAATAATTCACAGACCAATTATTTACTCATTTGTCTTTAGTTTTAAACAAATAACAATCTTAACAGGACCAACTCATACTTGTTCTAGAAATTATTTGTAACACGGTTCTTTGGAAGATAAATTTTGTGGGGAAGTTATAAGATGTGTGTGTGTGTGGAAGAATGTATAAGTTTTGTATATATTTGGAAATGTATAAATTATAAGATATATAAGTTTTTTGTGGGGAAATTATAATATATATATATATATATATGGAAGATGTTATAAAGTATATATGGCCAGAAGATTACCAGTAAACATAGTTAACTACATAACTTTGTAATTCTTTAATTATTAGTCACTTATAACTTACCACAATGTGAGAAAATGACAAAACTGCCAAGCACAAACAAATGTTGAAGATAAAATGCTATGGATACCGAAGAAGATGATCCGCTTCTAGTTCTTCCCATGCTCACCACCAGAAAGCTAAGAGACAGATGGAGAGAAATGAGAAAGCAGCTAGCCCCAAGGAAGCTAGATAAAATTTCAGTATCTTTTACTCTGAAGATGCCTTACAATTTATTTGCAAGGTGATTAGCCACCCTGGCCACAATTTACTCTCCAAACAACAATTATATGGACCAACTAGCTAAACACATGTATTAGTGTGTTTATTATATACTCGCGTGTCTTTATTCTACATATGTATATATATGTATGTACGTACATACATACATACGTATATCGGTATATGTAGGGAGTAGTCAAGTGTATGCATAGGCGTCCCAAAATAAGGCATTTGAGGTGGTCACCTCAGGCCCAAAATTATGGGATCCCTTAAGATAGGTGTTGACAAAAAGTAAGTCTAGTTCTATGCTGTTTACCATTTGTCTTTTTTCAAATATTACCAACATGGTCTTAAAACTATTAAAAATTAGCAAGAGCATATATCTCATATTAGGGATTAAAGTGACATGTTAAATTTAATACATTAGAAATGTTGGAAATGCATTTTGAATAGTAATAATAAAGAATATCGTAATTAACTATTTTAATAGAATTACATGTTTGTGTTTATAAAATATAAGAAAAATAGCATTTAATTTATATAGTACATTTATAGTATTTTATTTGTGCAGAGTTAGGTTGGATTGAGACTAAATTATCAATACTTGAAAAGGTAAGGTCTAAAATGAAAATCTAATTAGTGGTACTAGTGCTCCCTACTTCTACAGTCCTTTTACTGTCTACATTAAATTAATACTCCGTGTATTAGTTTAATGCACTATCCCTATGAAATATAAAAAACAGTTTGTGAACTATTGTAGTTTGAGAAATTAAAAAAAAAAAATGACGAGGAGAAAATCATTACACTACTTATTGTTAATTGTTATTCTTACTGTTGTTAGTTTTATTATTATTATTGTTGTTGTTTTTGTTGTTGATATGTTTTTATTATACTTCATTATTAAGAAGCAAAAATAAAGTGGAAACAGAGGCGCATCAGAGGACACAAAGAAGAGCAAGCAAGACAAGCAAGGTTTTGTGTGCTGTACTGCTGTAGCAACCTGCCTGCGAAATCAATAAAGTTGATTCTTTACCACACTCCTTTGCATATCAGTCTGTGCTTTTGTACATTTGCTTCTTTACATTTAATGTGTAACATAAGAAACATTTAAAAGATGTTCCTTTTTATGTGTAAAGATGAAGAAACTTGACTCTTCGTATCATTTACACATATATTCCCTTCCCTTCGTATATGTACAATATAACATGATTCTTGATTCATATAGTCTTTCACAACAAAAAGTGCGACTAAAATGTCTCTAGGTATAGTTCATTCGTGAGATTTTACTTGTTATATATGTACAGTTCAGGATTTTAGGCGTTCAACGCTCAAGACTACTCTCGTTCAGGATCTTATGGTCAGGTGTAATTTTTTTAACCATTTGTGTCAGATAATTTCAGACAAAAAGACTGCCAATTTGACCTTTGGTTCATTAGCCTGCTCATTTGTGTTATGTGTATGTATAAATGAGAAAAAGATATTCTGATATCAATAAGAATGAATATGATACAATGCATTTGAGATCTAAAGACGCTAAAGGACTAATACAACAACATTCAAGCCTTAATCTCAATATTTTTGGGTGTGTTTAAATGAATGATACATGTGAATATGTGATCACGGTCAAAAAAGAAAGATAAGAAATATATTAAGATAAGATACGGTGAAAAGGGTAAGGTAAAATAGAATGGCAAGATAAAAGGCGTAAAAAGAATATATATATATGGGACATAGACTACTTTTGCATCAGTTGGATGAGATGTGTGATTCTTTTAACTAGTACCACACGTTCACACCATATAAATTGTTTTTATGTTTCTTGAACCATATATCTATTTTTGTCAAAAAAAAAACCTAATGTTCATATCATCTATGGCGGTATCAATGGTCCGCCTTCATCCTAAACCACCACGGGCTGAACGGGTTTTTTGGATTTGAAAGTTGCGTTTCAAGATGGAGTTTGGCTAGCTGCAACTTTTTATTTTAATCTCGCATCAATTATTATATCGTCTCAGTTAGACAATTGCTCTAACTTTTTGTTTGTATGTGTTCTTGACAATCTAGAAATTTTAGTTTTATCAAGATTAGAAATATAGAGGCTTCTAGGCCAAATAAATCTACTCGATTACTCAAGGGTGTTTTTTATGTAATCAAATAGTGAAATGACCTTATTTGAATCCTTTTAAATCACTCAAAATTTTGGATCATATCTACTCGGTATAATGGATTGATTTAGTTATGGACCCGGTCCGGTCTGATTCTTTCAAAATTTTGGTCCGATTCTTATTTGACCGGATTATTGATTACACGGGTCTCTCAAACAAATTGCTTACACTACTATACTTATAGACTAATCCAAAAAACTTGTTGGGTTGTGTGTGCACCCCACCCAAACCCACTAGAATCCGACAAGCACTTATTTGGAGAAAATAAGTTCCAAATTTGTTAAAAACGGAGAAAATATCTCATGTTCAGAAACTTTTAGAATATCATTCGTAGCAAGGGCTTTTGAGAAATAGAAAGAAACAAATAAGCTTCAACCCGGGACCGGACCGGTTCTCGGGTCCGGGTCCGGGTCGGGCCTAGGCCCGGGGGGCGGGTCCGGGCTCGGGTCTTACATTTGGCGAACCGGCCAGGTCCGGGCCCAGGCCCGGCCAGGTCAGGTCCGGGCTCGGGTCTTACATTTGGATTGATGGTTAGGAGGGGTTTGGGGGGGTGGGATTAGGAAAGCAAAATAAACCGGAGGCCCGGCCCGGACCCGGACCGAAGCCGGTGGCTACCCGGGCCGGTCCCGGGTCCACCAATTCTGAACCACCGGCCCGCCCGGGCTAGGCCGGACCCGGCCCGGCCCGAATCCACCCCTATTCACTATGCTATCCAAGAATAACTCCTCTGAACCTGACAATTCAAGTCTTTCTAACTAAACTCTTCTCCCCACCCCTTGGCAGTTATTATTAGAACAATGCATCAACTGACCACATCCTTCAAGTAGGGCGAGCCCAGTTCAGTTCCGGTTCCTCAAAATTAGGACCGAACTGGAAGGGTTCTGATTCTAATGCAAGGCAATTTTATCCACGCAGATAGGACTTAAACATTTGAATGTTCTATTCTGGATTAAAAACAATAGGTCAGTGTCCAATATAGCAATAGGAAGTTAGGAATGAAGGATAGTGTACAAATGTTCACAGATTACAAAGAAGGTGCATAATACTTCTCAATCATACACAGGTGGAAGATACATCTTAACATACAAGCCATTCCCAGTCTAAAGGTAGTAAAAAAAACTAGGAACCAACCAGGGCAACTCCTAGAGGGGGAGCACAATGAAATTCGCACACAAATCATTTGTTGGGAAGAACATAAGAGCCTCTCCATCCTCTCAGGCTAAGCCATCTTTACATCATTTATAAAACTGTATTTTACGCCTTGACAAAGTAACTCCAGCTTATTCTCACAGATCCAAAGAATACAACATAGTATATCGTGAAGTGGAATAACATAGACAAACTACCGGAGTTTAGCAGCGTGACAACCCAGTGCTACAACAGGGATCCTGACAATGTGCCCTCTGCTTCCTTTCAGTGTAACCTCTCCGAAACTGTATCGTCCAGTGATTGAGCGGGGAGTCAGAGTCACTGTAAATTTGCGTGTTGCACCATGCCTTAATGTCATTGCAGGAGGGTTTGTTTCAATGGCGACATCCGGTGCCATCCTTGCAGTAATGACATATGTTTCTTCTTCAGCAACATTTGTCACTGAACGTGACACAGTTCGCGTCCCAACAAGATTAGATGTTGTGATTGAGGGCATATTGAGATTTGATGGGTGGCCAAGAGTGTAGTTGCACGCAGAGTGTGTGAAATTCTTTATCTCGAGAGGATCAATTCCTGGGACTGTGCACAAGAATCCCAAATAATCTTCATAGCCTACAATTCAATTGACAGATCATCAGTTAATAAGCGCAACAAAGATGACTGTCAATCAAGATTTTTAAGTGGAAGTGCACTATTTAATCAAAGCTTCAGATTTTCTTCCCGTTGACTTTCAGGCTTATTAACAAAGTAATTGTATGGTTCTGGTATATCTAAAAAACAAATATACTAACCACGCAAATTTTTCCTTCAAAGGAAATGGGAAGAATATTTTGGGACATCCCGGAAAGGGTAATGGGAAGAAAATTATGAGACAGGTGGAGTAATAAAACTCCAATAGGATTACTATCACAGTTTTGATAATTCGCCTTATATCCTGCTGTGGTATAAAGGGATTCCAAATAAATATGCTTACAGCCTTGCAGAATACAGATTCATGTCAAACCCCAATATTGAAATGGTGCCACGGACTCAACTACTCATCTATGTCTCTTTTTTTGCATTCAAAGTACCATCACATTTTGTGTCACAGTCATTAAGGTTTGTCACACAGAGATGGAGGAAATGAATTGAAGAGCAACAAAAAGACATACACTAGAAAATATTTAACTGTCATTAAATATTGGTTCCATGAAGCAGATCTAATGAGGTTGAGTGTGTTCTGCAATTTAAATCTTAAATTCCAACTGTTTACAACTTATTTAGCATGTATTGAAAGAAGAACAGCTTAAAATTTGTTAGCGTGTATTGATAGAAGGGCTGTTCTGGGATACCTGCATCAAAGACAAGACCAGGATCAAGGGCTGCTCTAGGATTGACATGGCCACTACCATAATCAAAAGGTGTTGCATGAACCAGTGTCATGGTTTCAGAAGCAGAATACTCTTGTGCTTGAAGTGGCCTCTCCGCTCTGTCAATAGTTGATGATGTTGTCATCAAAGCTGATTTAATAGCGGCAGGGCTCCAGTGAGGATGCTTCTGCTTCACAAGTGCAGCAATTCCTGCTATATGAGGAGCAGCCATGCTGGTTCCAGATATCATAGCAAATCCTTCACCTTTCACAATCCAAAACAGTTATTCAGCTTCTTCATGATGATTTTTTTATGTTTATTTACTAATTTCTTGGATATAAGTGATAAAACCAAACCAAGCAAATTGGTATGTGAGTATATGACTATATTCCACTCGTAAGTAGGCTAGGGAGGCTGAGATGTACGCGGACTTTATCTTCTACCCTAAGGGTAGAGAGACTATTTTAATGGGACCCTTGGCAAGGAGTGTGGATAGGGTGAAAAGCAAGCAAGTACACAAGGTAAGTCTATTGATGGGAGAGCGATATCAGTAAACTCCTCTCATTAAGCAGAAAAATGTATACACAAAAAGGTCCTTAAAGAATATAATGCTTCTAAGGCAATACAGCCAAGAGCTAATGTAGTAAACAATACTTCCTTATGTCCCATATAAATCAGGACGGTTGCTTTTGGCGCATTAGTTAAGAAAATGAAATTGTGTTGTGATTCATTTAGAAAGGAAAGAAAAATAGACCACAGAAGTCATTCTTTAAAAAGAAATGTAAAGACTAAAGATAACCCAGGGATGGATGAAAAAGGAAAGTGTAAAGATTTACTAGTATTTGGTATGGAGGGAGTACTGTTTAACAGTTTTTTAGTGACTATGTATCCAAAACTTCCTACTGAACCTCCAAGTGTTAGAGAGCTAATATAAGTAATCCTCTACCAATGATTTCATAGAAAATTCTAAAATATGATATACCAACATAATTTGCTTCATCTGTTCCATTAATAGCCCATGCTGCCCAAATTAGAGAACCAGGAGCCAGTATATCGGGTTTGAGGAGATCAGCATCTCGGAAGCTAAAATCTTTGATATTTGGTCCTCGAGCAGAGAACAATGCCACTTGTGGTGCAGCACTTTGAAGTATAGGCTTCAAACCATCCCCAATGCTTCCTGTCCCTTTAAAGCTCTTAACACGCCCCGTCCAATCTCTTGAAGTGGACATATTGTAATAATTTATAAGCTCCTAAAATTGAAATTCGCAGACAATAATAAGGGACAAACCAAAACCAAGCCATAAAAACTACAAATAAATAAATAAAAACTTAGTGAGAGATGCAACTGAGGGAAGTACATGCCAAAGCCCAAAGGAGTGAAGGACTAAAGATTAGTAGCCCCTGATTTAGTATATATATGGAACATATTAATAGGGCAAAACATCTTTATAATTAACTTGTGACATGGGTGTTGTCACATTGTTTCACAAAAAGTACAGCCTGCTTGGGAAGGGCTTGGCACATCAATTACGGTGTTGTGTAACCGAGGTCACAGGTTCAAATCTTGGGGAGGGGCCTCTTCCCAAAAATGAAAACGGAACGCTGGCCCTCTATACACCCTTTTGGTGAGACCCTTCCCCGGACTCTCTCCTTGCGGGGATGCCAACGTGCAACGGACTGCCCTTTTTAAGTACAGCGAACCTGGAAAGGTCCAGATTTTTCCATTGTAACAACTAAAGTAGACTACATGGACTAAGATGTTTACCATCGAATCCTTCTTATTGGTTATGACAATCCCAGGAACTCTAATAGGAACAGGATAATAATTGGTTCCTGGTGTAGAATTCTCAACAGCAAGAACAAATCCAACAGCACCAAGACTTCTCACTGTTTCTGCGACAGCTTTAATTGATGATGTACCAACAACAAAATTGAATGAATAACCACAAAGAAGAATGTTTCCCTGCACCAAGTTTTTGTTTAAAAGTTCGGGCTTCTGGCAGTCTGAAGGATTATATTTGGCAACCGAAGAATCCAAAACAACATCATTAGCAGCAACCATGGTGAATGTTCGGTTTGGATGTGTAGAAGCTGCTCAGGAAAGTATGTGCAAAACAAAGTTCAGAACCATAAATATATTCTAAAATGATGCATTCAAGAAAGGAATTAAGTAATCTTCGTGAAAAATAACTTTTGTTTTAAATGCAACTCAAATTTGAATTAAAGTACTCATGGATGGTTGTTACATCCTAGAAAACAAATGAAAAGACACCAGAGAAGATGTTATGACCCGGGAAACTTCACCGGCTTTTTAGCAAAGATGTTGAGTGTAAAAAACATTAACAAAGGAAAGAAAAGAGTTGAGGATGGACTTGATGACCAATAACCACCAAAACTCCCTCGCAGAATAATACTTATCTCCATGACTCCATATCCTTATTTGTCAGCCAAAAAACTCCTTATATGTAGAGCTGAGAGAAGGCTTATAAGACTTCCTAAACTACAAACTAGGGAATAAATGACTGGTAACTACTATAAATACTTAACTATTACATTACGAATTCAGTAACAAATTCATAATAGTAGTAAATATAAAATGCTGATGGTGAATTATTTCTTTTGCTGCCCATCTTGGTTGGTGCTACAAGACTGAATCAACCTAACCAACTTGAGTAACACAATGATGGAGGCTCTCCTAGTCTCCTAAACAACTGCTTAGATGAATAGAAGCTCATCCCTATTGCTCTATTATATACCAATATATAATGGTACATTGAACTTACGCGATAACCCAATGCCAGACAATCTTTTCCCATTGCCAAGGGTCAAATAATTCTTATATCTCCTATCATCCGCTGCAGCAGCTACAGACGCTATCCATGGGCTATAAGACAACAATGTTTTGGGGAAAGGACCTCCATTACCAGCTGCTTGTGCAACAAATACTCCAGCTTTGACTGCTGAAAGAAGTGTAGCATCAAAAGGGTTTAGAAAGGTGGTTCTTGTAGTTGTTGGAGGACTGTTTTGGCCCACTGACAAATTGAGAATGTCAACGCCATCATGAACTGCCTGTCAATAGATCAATCACTCTAATCAGTTATGAGAAAATGCAATATAAAATATTAAATTAAATTCTTATCAAGTACGTAACAACTACCGTCAAGAGGTTTAATCATCTTTCAATGGAAATAATATTGGCGATCATTCTTAGACTCACTAATTAAATATTTTCCCCTTTTATTCCCATTTTCGCTTTGAAAAACTTGCATCAAACACTTGATGCCCTACACCCAAATCATCTCTCCTATTGTTATTGCTTTTATCACTTTAGTTTCTTAGTAGCTCAACCAAACTCGTAGACTTAAATTCACGTTTTTAGCATAAAATCAAAGTTCAAGTTGCTTCATATTTGACCCCCCCCCCCCCCCACTATTACCTAGCAGGAAGCTACATAATCCTGAACCATAAAGTGTAGCTTAGCAATTATTACACTACCATACCATAATTATTACACTACCATACCAACTATAAATTCTCTGGCAGATTAGGGTCTTAGGTATTTTCTAGAGGTGCCATAATACACACCATACATTTTAGTTCTTATCATAGCATACCTGTTCAATAGCAGCTACCACATCTGCAACAAATCCTCCAAATAGCCTGTAGAGCGCCTTGTACACAGCAATCCTGAAAGCCGATATCAATTGTAAAGAAGCTGATGTAGCACTGTGCTCAAAAGAGTGTAGCGTCACATTTTCCTAGAAGGCTCACCTTGCACGGGGAGCCATTCCACTTGCTTTTCCGAATTCAAATCCATGCATTCTGACAGGAATTCCATTGTTTCCAGCTGCAATGGCCGCCGTGTGACTGGAAAAAGTAATGGACGGTCTCACAACATACTGATAGCGACACTTAAATGCATTTCAAGCTCAAACAAATATCTAGAATCTAACATTTCTAAGAAACACGATAAAAGCACGGGCAATGAATCTAATCATGGGGAACTACAATTAACTATCTGAAAAAAATGTTTATTACAATTAATGTAGATATAATAAGAAGGATTCGATGGTATTCAATGTGATGACAATAATGTAGATAGCAAAAGCACATCTCTCCATAGAAGAAACCCCTAAAAGCATGGTAAAACATACCTTCCATGCCCATCACCATCAAGAGGAGAATCGAAATCAATTTCAGGATTAAATGCACCGGCAGCTTTAGCAGCTTCAGCAAAATGCTGAGCTCCAACAATTTTCCCATTACAGTAGTTCCTCTTTGTAATTGGATCCTTTTCACATTTTCCTCGGTATTTTAGAAGAGGTCCATAGGGTTCGCCAATGTGGTTTGCAAAGCAGGGATGGTGTGGATAAATTCCAGAGTCCACAAAGCCTATTACAATATCCTCTCCGGCCCTGTCAAAGCCACCTCCAGTTGGCCAGACTCCAGTGGGAAGCCCTAAGAATTGAGGGGTGTGGGTTGTTAGCCTTTTCACCTTCCAATCCCTTGTAACTGATTTCACACCAGGAGCGTGTCTAAGAATTTCTGCCTAATAATATGTTAAAAGGGTATAAGAAATAGATTTAAAAAGGTTCTAGATAGAAATCACAAAAGAACTGTCTGTCCCATACAATTTTTAGTGTAGTTTTTAAGTATGTAAAATTTAATAATTAATACTAAGTTAAACGTTTGCAAAAAAAAATACTAAGTTAAACATTATTAGGAGAGAGTAACTTCAGTCAAATGTTGACAATCCAAAATAGGACACATAAATTGGTTGGAGGATGTGTTTTCATCTACCACAGAAACATGCAAACAGGGAGGAAGTATTAGTAGAAAAATGTGGATTGTTACCTGCTCAGGCAAGATATGAACTGCAAAGCCATTTATCAGATGGCGATAACTGTAGATTTTATTGTAGGTTCCTCGGTCAAATAGCAATCCAAGAAGCATATCATGTTTCTTTTCCAAATGTCGTGCATAAGATAAGGCAGGTTCACTAGAGATGAGCCATAGCAGAGCAGATAGAGTGAGCAACGCCAATTAAAAATTAACATACAAAAAAGGTATCTAAAATGTAAAGAAGGAATGACATAGCAAGTGCATAGTAAACTTTCACATTATCAGGAACTCAAAGTGCCTAGTTGTCAATACTTCTTCTGGGTTGAAGATCACCAATTAAATTAATTACATCCCCTTGGAGATGGACAGTGAACAGTGGTTTTACTAAAACTGGAACATTTTGAATTCTTTGAGAACTGTGAAGTTAGATATAAGACATCATGTGCTGCAGCTTTCTTAGTTGATGTTAAAGCAATTGACTAGTGCAACCAACTAGATCAACAGCCCTGTTGAAGGTGCAAGGTCATGCAAGCAGCATACAATACCCCATTGCAGTAGACATGCTAGGCCCTATTGGATTACTAATCCAAAAAAACTCTGTGCTGCACATAATTTTGGAATATAAACACCCTATACATAATTATAATATACTCATTTTCTTTTAAAAAAAAGGCGATGCTGGGAAAAAAACTTTTGCTTACAAAAAATATGCTTTGTTGGATCAAAGCCAACTATTCTGTTACAAGTGTGGTTGTAATCTCATTTGAGCTATAGAGAAAAGAGAACCGAAGAGTGGAAGAGCAAAATAAGCCTAAGCTAGAATTGATCGGTGCCCAACCTTGTGAAGACACAAAAGAATTAATTCTTCGAAAGTGGTTTATTGAAATTGATGACCCTTATATAACTATTACAAGATCCCTAATCATATTAGGAAATACAAAGATAGGCTAATAAGAAATTGACTAAAACTGAATAAAGAAATAACACTGACAATACTAATACGAAAGTAATGATGATGATGATGAATGATGAGAGATACGCCTACATTATGTTTCTTTTTCGATAAACTCCGAAAGAAGTTACATATTGCCCGCTACATGCTTAGTTGAATTTCAAGCTTAAGGTAGTGGAGTTTGTGTAAAAGGGGGGGGGGGGGAAATGACGTCAACCAAGGGACGATGGGAGTATAAACTTATTCAAAAAGACAAATAATTTTACAATATAGTGAATATAGAAGCATGGTTAATGACTTATAACATATATGTACCTTTCCAAAATAAAAAAGTTATTTGTACAAGTAACTTTCCAATATGTTGCATGTATAACATATATATATATATATATATATATATATATATATATATATATATAGAGAGAGAGAGAGAGAGAGAGAGAGAGGGGGAGCGATTCCGTTAAGAACAGACTCCCAGGAGAGAAATGAGAATGAATCTGGACCGTTGGATTGTATTATGTGGAACTGAATTGTGCATGAGATATATTGAAATGTGCAGAATAAAAATTTGAACTCAAATGTGCATTAGATGAAATTGAAATGTGCGGAATAAAAGGTACAAAAATAACATCACATCGTACCTCTTATTCTGCACATTTCAGTTTCACCTAGTGGCTAGTGCACATTTCAATTTCACCTAATGCACAATTCAGCTTCACATAATGCCGTTGTATCGTACCCTTTGTGTTGCACATTTCAATTTCATCTAATGCACATTAGAGTTTCGTCTAATGCACACTGAATTTCACTTAAAGCAAATCTAACGGTCCAGATTCATTCTCATTTCTCTCCTAAGATCATGTTCTTCTTTGAACCAATATATATATATATATATATATATATATATATATATATATATATATAGCTTTCCAAAATTAAAACGGTGCATGTTGGTCAAAACATGACCTTTTTGGAGATAGATGCAACTTTCAACAAAAGCTATAGTTCAGTATAAACTTTAAACTATAGATAATTATAGTGTTTTACTTTGCTGGTTTCATTATATGCTCTGGATGTCATAATACTTGACCAAGGTCTAACACAAAGTGATTGGAGATAAAAATAAAAAATTAAACTTATAGCATTGTATTTGCATCTAAAGGAGACCTTGAGCTGTTTTATATTACTTTTTATACATATAATATATTTATGTTTCATTATTCACACTTCCATTGTCGGCCCCTCACCATAGAATTCTCAGTCCATCCCCAGTCCGATGGTGGTTATTTAACATATTTTTAAAATGTTATGGTTGCAGTCATATTCATTCTTCTTCAATTTCTTTTTATTCGAATTATTTTTCATTTTGCGCACGAAGCATTCAAGCAGAGCACATTATTATATAAGAGGTTTTAGGCATTAAATATATTGAAGCTCAATGCATAAAAGTTTAGCATGACAGAGTATCTCTTTATGAGCCTATAAATATGTCTCTCCTTGAAACATCTGTAGAAGGAAGCTTTTAAATGCTTTTTGGAACTTTCAGTCTTTATTTATAAGGAAAGGTTGAGTGACTGGCTCCGTTCAGAACTTATGATCGTAAGTTTTCAACATAAGGAGAGCAATACCATCTAAGAATAGAATAGAAGAACCAAATAAGTAAAACAAGAACAACATTTTAGCAATACTATCTCGATTTCATAAGTAGTTTTCATAAATTTAGATAGGATAGTCCTTTCTAAACCAAGCACCTCAATCCCAACAAATGTAATTCTAGTGGTCAATAAAATGATAAATGTATACATGATTGTTGTGAAACAGTGTTTAATCAGTCATTGCTTTTAATAATAGCATTGCTAGTACTAAGTGCAATTGCTGACGAAATAGTCTCGCATGTAGTCGCCATTTAGGTGCGCAATAGTCTGGCATGTAGTCGCCATTTAGGTGATTTTGCTAGTCTAGAAAAACCACCAAAATGACGGCCACACGCGAAACTACTTATTTAATTCTTAAAAGAGTTTATCTGTTCTCGATAAGCATCGTTACAGATTTCTACTGCCATAGTAAGGAAACAATGAATTCTCCAAATTGTAGAAGGATAAATGAACAACTGAGTATAATATCCTTTACTAATTCTTGCTTTATCTTTTATTGTGGTTATAGCATCATTGTGTAAGGACAACTTTGAAATTATAATTAATAATTAATGTTTCCTTGATTTTCTGAAATGACATGTTTCAGAACATTTTCCTGTAAACACACGTATATTATATATACGTGTAATGATGATGATGATGAATGATGAGAGATACGCCTACATTATGTTTCTTTTTCGATAAACTCCGAAAGAAGTTACATATTGCCCGCTACATGCTTAGTTGAATTTCAAGCTTAAGGTAGTGGAGTTTGTGTAAAGGGGGGGGGGGGGGGGGAAATGACGTCAACCAAGGGACGATGGGAGTATAAACTTATTCAAAAAGACAAATAATTTTACAATATAGTGAATATAGAAGCATGGTTAATGACTTATAACATATATGTACCTTTCCAAAATAAAAAAGTTATTTGTACAAGTAACTTTCCAATATGTTGCATGTATAACATATATATATATATATATATATATATATATATATATATAGAGAGAGAGAGAGAGAGAGAGGGGGAGCGATTCCGTTAAGAACAGACTCCCAGGAGAGAAATGAGAATGAATCTGGACCGTTGGATTGTATTATGTGGAACTGAATTGTGCATGAGATATATTGAAATGTGCAGAATAAAAATTTGAACTCAAATGTGCATTAGATGAAATTGAAATGTGCGGAATAAAAGGTACAAAAATAACATCACATCGTACCTCTTATTCTGCACATTTCAGTTTCACCTAGTGGCTAGTGCACATTTCAATTTCACCTAATGCACAATTCAGCTTCACATAATGCCGTTGTATCGTACCCTTTGTGTTGCACATTTCAATTTCATCTAATGCACATTAGAGTTTCGTCTAATGCACACTGAATTTCACTTAAAGCAAATCTAACGGTCCAGATTCATTCTCATTTCTCTCCTAAGATCATGTTCTTCTTTGAACCAATATATATATATATATATATATATATATATATATATAGCTTTCCAAAATTAAAACGGTGCATGTTGGTCAAAACATGACCTTTTTGGAGATAGATGCAACTTTCAACAAAAGCTATAGTTCAGTATAAACTTTAAACTATAGATAATTATAGTGTTTTACTTTGCTGGTTTCATTATATGCTCTGGATGTCATAATACTTGACCAAGGTCTAACACAAAGTGATTGGAGATAAAAATAAAAAATTAAACTTATAGCATTGTATTTGCATCTAAAGGAGACCTTGAGCTGTTTTATATTACTTTTTATACATATAATATATTTATGTTTCATTATTCACACTTCCATTGTCGGCCCCTCACCATAGAATTCTCAGTCCATCCCCAGTCCGATGGTGGTTATTTAACATATTTTTAAAATGTTATGGTTGCAGTCATATTCATTCTTCTTCAATTTCTTTTTATTCGAATTATTTTTCATTTTGCGCACGAAGCATTCAAGCAGAGCACATTATTATATAAGAGGTTTTAGGCATTAAATATATTGAAGCTCAATGCATAAAAGTTTAGCATGACAGAGTATCTCTTTATGAGCCTATAAATATGTCTCTCCTTGAAACATCTGTAGAAGGAAGCTTTTAAATGCTTTTTGGAACTTTCAGTCTTTATTTATAAGGAAAGGTTGAGTGACTGGCTCCGTTCAGAACTTATGATCGTAAGTTTTCAACATAAGGAGAGCAATACCATCTAAGAATAGAATAGAAGAACCAAATAAGTAAAACAAGAACAACATTTTAGCAATACTATCTCGATTTCATAAGTAGTTTTCATAAATTTAGATAGGATAGTCCTTTCTAAACCAAGCACCTCAATCCCAACAAATGTAATTCTAGTGGTCAATAAAATGATAAATGTATACATGATTGTTGTGAAACAGTGTTTAATCAGTCATTGCTTTTAATAATAGCATTGCTAGTACTAAGTGCAATTGCTGACGAAATAGTCTCGCATGTAGTCGCCATTTAGGTGCGCAATAGTCTGGCATGTAGTCGCCATTTAGGTGATTTTGCTAGTCTAGAAAAACCACCAAAATGACGGCCACACGCGAAACTACTTATTTAATTCTTAAAAGAGTTTATCTGTTCTCGATAAGCATCGTTACAGATTTCTACTGCCATAGTAAGGAAACAATGAATTCTCCAAATTGTAGAAGGATAAATGAACAACTGAGTATAATATCCTTTACTAATTCTTGCTTTATCTTTTATTGTGGTTATAGCATCATTGTGTAAGGACAACTTTGAAATTATAATTAATAATTAATGTTTCCTTGATTTTCTGAAATGACATGTTTCAGAACATTTTCCTGTAAACACACGTATATTTGAGAGCAATGAATTTAAATATTTTCCATTTGATACCTAGAATTTTCTGATAAACTAATCAAGACTATCTAAAGTTCTAAACTGTTTGCAATTGGCAAGGAATATGGGCTTACAAAAGCAAATAAAATACTATCCGGTCAGATTACGCAATATCTTCAGTTCTCCATACGAAAAGTAAAGTTGACAAAATGCCACACCCCGGTTAATATAATCAACTGAAAACAATGAGTACACAAGATTAACAAATATCCCTTAAACAACATTAATTGCCCACACCCAATTTTACAGCTCTTCAAAATATAACTCGTAAAAATTTCTTCAAAATGGGAAATACAAATGAAGATCAGGGGTACCTTGCTCCATCGAGTTTCTCACCATCCTCCAAAGCTGTGGCTTCGAAACCCTCGACTCCACCTTTATAACTTATCACAGGTTCCCCTTCAACTGTCACAATGTAGATCTCAGCGTTGCCAAGATCCAGCACACCCAATATAAGATATGCAACAAGAAGGCCAACAGCCATTGGCGTTCCCATTTCTGCAGATAGAAGGTCTAGTCTCTTCAGACTCTTTGACTTCAACAGTTACATCTCTGATTCATCCACAACACAGTCAAATTATAGAGGTACACACCAAAATTGTTTGAGCACATAATAACGGGCTACTGCTACGCATTAACTGTTGCACTCTGCTCTGTGGTGGATCAGCGGTAGTTCCTAGATCGAGAGGGATTTTTTTTATTATGCTTCAAAGTACAAAAGAACTCCTACCATCTCAAGAAAGCGAAAGGGTACCTCCAATTGAGCTAGATGAAGGCATAAATCACACAAAACACCCAACTAATACAAACAGATTGCATTTGAAGTCATGGGTACACACTAAAACAATGATACTTATTCTTAATCACCATTAGTCCAACTTAGCAGATCCAACAGTCTCCGTCTAATTTGAACGTGAAAATATGCCTACTTGTATAGCTAGAGTACACTAGAAAACTGGTTTTGAGTATGCATCGATGAACTAAGCAGCTGAAGCAAAGAATCAAAACTTTAAATCAAGCAAATTGTAGACAATGAAGTGAAAGTGAAAATGGAAAAGCTAAGATCTTTACTCACAGTATTATCGGGAAGGAATCAAATCACGGAATGCTACTCCGTATTTTGTACTCTCTCCCGCACACAGACACAGTCTATCTCTATGTCTATATATATATGGAGTATATTACAGGTTGTAACATATATGGGCGAAGTACCGAACAATCATCCAAGGGAGGCAGGAGCAGAATAAAAATGGCCACTGTATGATTTGCAGTACTTTTTGGCTTTTTCCTAGACTAGATTGGAATTGTAAAAATAACATAAAAAAATCAACTTCAACCCGCGTCGCAATGCCTTCATTTATTGCAGAGTAAACCTTTTTTGTTTAATTTAGTTACTACTGAATATTGCAAGTTTTAAATTAGAGGAGAAATAAAATAAAAAAGTAGTGTACAAAAATAAAGAAAAATTATTAATTAATACTTTAAATATGAAAATGATAAGACTTTTGAACAATAAAGAGAAAATGGTAATGTACAATGGGACGGAATGACAGATGGAATTGTGTTTACTTCAATTCCAACATTAAAATTGGCTCAAATAATTAAATATAATGAAATTTCTGGAATTGGCTTAATATGCTAACATTGTCATTCTACGTGTTCAATAATGAGAAGTTTGTGGATAATTTGATTGAGATCTTCTTATATCTGAAATGACAAATTTCCGCAAAACAACGTGAAACCGGCCATGAGAAAGATGTTAGAAAAGAGTGTACATACGATCGGGAAATGATCGAGCCAAAAGGAGTATATTATTAGCTCGTTCAAGAGCTGCATGTTGGGATCACATATTAAAATTGTTCATATTCTTTCTATGTGGACTACTACAATGCAAGTTTACCGTCATACTTCAATCTTCATCTGTTCTTGTTTAGTTGCAACTTTCCTTTTTTCGCGCTTGTTGATGCACAACTTTGATTGTCATTATATTTAATTCTCTATTAGTAAAAAACTTTTAAAAATCAATTATGAAATTTTATAATGAGATGAATTTAACAATATTTTTTAAAAAATCTCATACATTAATAAATAAAATGTAGTCAAAGTAGAGTACATGAACAGTGTGTAAAGTACATGAATAGTGTGTAAATTCCAATTTTGCAACTATTACAGTACGAAGGATAGTATATTTGATGATAAAAGTGATTTAAAATCAACGGGCATTGATCATAGTTTGGTATATACGAAGTATTATAGAGGGTAATATATTTGTTTGTATTGCCTAGTTGGTAAAGAAAGTATCGTGATCTTGCTTGTATCACATTTAATTTATTGCAACAAAAAAGATCAAAATATCCTTGAGATTGTGATCTTGCTTAAAAATAGCAAATGTAAATTTCAAGATTTGAGAGAAAATATCATTAGAAGATTTTATGGCTAAAGGGTCAAATAGGACCTTGAACTGACTTAAAGTGTTCAATTAGCCCCTTATATAGGAGGTTCTGCCTGGCCGTCGCCAATTGGGGTGGTTCCCAGTGGAATTTTTTGATGAATTTTTTTGAGCATCTTCTTAATTAAGTCTAGTTTACTCATACCAAATTTCAGCTAAAAATTAAACCGGAAAAGACAGTCAAATGATTTTTTGAAGATAACTGCGAAGTTAAACAGCGCAGTACATTTCGGAAAATCATATGACTGCCTTCCCGGTTGAATTTTTAACTGAAATTTGGTATGGGTAAACTAGACTTAATGAACAAGATGCTCAAAATATTTCATCAAAAAATTCCACTAGGAACCGTCCCAATTAGCGATGGCCGTGCAGAACCTCCTATATAAGGGGCTAATTGAACATTTTAAGTCAGTTCAAGGGTCTATTTAACCCTTTAGCCAAGATTTATTGAAAGATGTAAATAATTTTTTTGTTAATTAAGAACGAAGCTAACATTCCTAACATGGAAGATACGAATCATCGTTCTATATGTGTTCGTTATCAATAACAAATTATCACCATTTTGAAATTGTTGTATTTTGTGAGGTACATCATTGTCATCATAACCATCATTATGGTATTTCATTTTTTGACACGGTAATTGAGTAGCACGACATGTAACGTTGAACAAGGTCATAGTTTCAAATTTAAATTGTGATCGTTTGTAGTATAAAAACAACTTGAGTTTTAATCCACAATGAAAAAACGATGCAAGGATGACTCAGTTATAATTTATATTATGCTTTTATTTCAAAACCTCAATATATTGCTTAGAATTGTTTTAACGAGTTAACAAATAGACCTTTAACACATAGATGAATTTTACTTATCCAACTTATTTTTTTATTTAAAAAAAATCTACACGTGTGGGCTAGACAAAATAGATTAATCTCCCACTCGACTTGTCTCCATCCATGCAGATGTGCCCCGCTTGGAAAAAATCTAGGTCCACCAATAGTTTCATGATTATTAAAATCGCAGGAACTTATAGGCTAGCTAGTTTCGGAAACTACATCATGACATCATTTTTAATAACATATTTGTCCCAAATCATAATAAAGGGATGTGAAGTTGTGATAGACATGTGACGGCTTATAACATAACTTAGTTACATGACATGAATCGAAATATATAAAATTCCCAAAAAAATTTGGGGATAAAACTTTGGATGTTATATTGGCTACTTTAGGAATTCAAGCCTGATTTTGTTAATCTAGAATGGGTACCACACTTTTCCACTTCTCACTTGTTAGTCTAGTTTAAGTAAGGTTTTATATTTTAAAAACGCTATTTGGATTTACACACTATCTTACACACGTTTGTGAGCATCTATTATGTGCATAAACAAAGCATATTCTTTAAGATGATGTGTTAAAAAAGATAGTGTGTATAAAAAAGTGGTAACCTCGTGATGACTTAAACAAGTTCTACTTAGCACTGAACACACAAAAAGACTACTACGTACTCCGTATCTTCTTTACTTAATAGGGACAAGGAATGCGGTCACTGTCGAAGATTATTATCAAATTGATTATGAATCAATATGAGTCTCGGTCATATCCTTTAATGGATGTCAGAATCACTCTTGAATTGTTCTTTTCAAAACATTTTTGTGTGAGATCCATATCCATCTTATAAATATCTTCATTTGGAGAAATTAATCTTAATAAAGAGTATCATAAAATTGACACAAACTTTTAGCAGTGGAACGCAGTCATGCACGTCTAAAAAAACTGGTCTTTAGAATATTGGAGTCGGGGAAGATGTTAGACTTTGGTCCCGTTTGTATAACGGCGGATTGAGCAATCCGCTGTTCTTTTTGAACTACAAATCGCTGCTAAAAGCAGCGGGTTGGCATGGATCCGCCGAAAAACAAACAGCCCCTTTGAGTACCTCTATGGCTCTAATTTGATCTATTTTGTATCTATATTTATTAACCAATATTTCTTCCACACAAAAAAGCCCAATATTTCTTTAGTATTTAATTATTTATCATTTGTTGTCACGTCACCTTTTTTTATCGCCGGTTTTTCATTAATATAGAGCAAACATGCAAGACAAAATTCATATATCTATTACACATCCAATCGTAATCTTTATGAATACACACACATACAAAGCAATCTGACTCGCTAGACACAAAACAAGCAAGAAGAAGCCTAAAATGATCGAAAATGAAGTATATCGCCTATCAAAAGTTCTTCAAAAATCAAAATATTTCAACCATACCTGCTCGAACTGAAATAAAAATAAGTACTACGAAAAGAAATATAATACGAAAATAAAAACTTTCCCCAAATTGCTTTCTTGCACGGAGGTGGTTCCGAAGGAGGGCGAGCTGCTATAGTATGGTAGAAGAGAATTTCAACCCCTGGAAAATTCGTCTGAAACTCTATCCTTCTTGCTCTCGCCAATTTGCTCCTTGAGATTTGCCATTGAAATCCATGTCCGAGGTGCAGAAGAAAACTCTATCATGTTGCCTTGTGTTTCTTCGTGCGCCCTCAAAAAATCCAAGCCGCACCCCACCGCCCTTGCGTTCCAATCACGTTCGAAACTCCAAAGAGGAAAACCGCACGAAGCTCTCGTTTCATGAAAAAACTCAGTCGCACGAATGAAGATCGATTGGCGGAACAAAAAAACCTAACCGGTGTAGGGAAGACGACCGTTCCTCGAAAAATTGATAGCGGAGAAGAAACCCCTTCGCGTCACCTTTTTATAAATTTCTAATATGATTTTAGGTATCTAAACGTTAATTAATTTTATCATAATAAATCGATTACATTTAGTGTGCTTGGCAGCTTGGAACACAATAAATTCATTATATGTAGCCATGTAGGTGCACGAATTAATTACTCTTTATGTAAAAGCCTAAGGTTTGATTTGATTTGATTACTCTTCGAAGTAATTACTCTTTATCGTCTGATTTGATTATTCAATGTAAAAGTATATTACACACCTAACTAAACAATGTATTTTTATTTTACATGTAAAATGATTGTTGCTTTAATGTTTACAATGAATAATTTTACATGTAAAGTTGTAATGTGAAATCTATCAAATGAGACTAAAACCCAATTGTGGTTTTATAACCACACTAAAAGGGTGAGACTTTTTTTCACAGTAAAAAGGTGAGACTTTTAGGATGTTTTCTTTTGGACTGTTTTCAGTCCCAGACCAGACCAGACCAGATCAGACCAGACCAGACCAGATCAGACCAGACTTAAACAGACCAGACCAGACTTGGATAGTTATAAAATACACAAAGACCAGACCAGACCAGACCAGTTCAGATCAGACCAGACCAGACTTAAACAGACCAGACCAGACCAGCAAATTTCAGTCCAAAAGAAAACATCCTTATTCCCCAACACCATGCAAAATGTAGCGTTTGTTTTTTTGAGTAAAACGCCAATACCCAAACAACCACAATGTGCTATTTACAAAGAATGTCCCAAACCCGCACGGGTAGCTCAGCTGGTCGAGTGGTGGGAAAAATACATTATGACCAAGGTTCGAATCCCCGCAGCGACCGGGTGGAGGTCACAGAACCTGAAATAAGGTTGGGCCTCTGGTGCGCACGGGGTAAAGGCCTACTGCCACTCTGCTGACTGAGTCACCGTGACTTACATCCTCCCATGTGCTCTGTCGGGTCGAGGCGTGGGGGGCGCTTGGGGTTGGCGATTCAACCTTTTGGAACTACAAAGAATGTCCCAATTCGTGATAAACATTCCAATAATGATATCATTAATGAGGTTTCAAAATCACAAAGCACTATAGTTTGTCATTCACATCTCTTCATTTGCTGTGTCTGAAATGTTCACTGGTCCCTTTCTATAGGTAGGATAAATGGAGAGAGAGCATAAGAAAAAATGTGTCAATAATTCAATCATTCCCAAAGTTGATTAAAAATTACCATAATGTTGCTTCATTGGATGAGTATTAACACAAAGTTGGATATTGGAGTTGAGATGGAGCACTATTTGTATAGTGTGATGTCAGATGTTTTTGGAAAGCTCATATCATGGTGGTCAATTGAGTTTGTGTCCTTTCAAGAATAGAACCATAAGACATTTTATGTGCTAAATGATTACTTCTATAGTTCTATTGCCTCAATATGGGATGTGATGATGTTTGAAAACTAGTGAAGAATGTATTGTTTCACCTTTCAAGCTAGCTAAGTCTAAAGTGTTCCACGAGGTTTATACCATCCCTTAGCTTGCCGGCCAGTACGTGGGCATCCTTTGTCGGCCAGACCTTTCTATGGACATCAGTTTAGAATTTCCAAGGTAAAAAAGGGTCATGATTATACTTTTAAAAAAGGACACCCCATTCTTGAGGGCCTCTAGTACACGTCGGATATTTAATTGGGATGATTCAAATCGGGTTGTTATCATAATGAGTGAGACTCTTGCTCTAGAGGTCATATCATTTGTATATAGTAACTTCTCATTGCAATTACTCTTGCAATTAGGTGGACTCGAACTCAAGACTTACTCCTTTTGACATTTCTTATTTACGCCCACTGGCCATGATTATACTTTTTAAGTTTCAAGATAGTAGATAAATGTTTTAAAGTGATGCACTTTATTTCTTGCAACACTACAAATTAAAATGATGGAATAATAGGTATACACAAAAAGTGTATACTTTTCATGCACCTGTTTGTCTACACAGACAATTATTAGCTTTTTCTAAACGGGTTGTTCATGTGCACTTGCAAAATAGGGAAGTATACACAAAAAGTGTATACTTTTTCTTTGCATCTAGTCTTTTTCAAATAGTTAAAATCACACTCAAATGATTGATAAATAAGATTGATATAAGCGGATTGAACTTGATTGAGATTTTTTAAAGAAACTTCCCAAAAATATGAGAACGCATCGGTAAGACTACAAAATATGACTAATTATGTTTTTTGAAAATATGAGTAACACACACATAACTAATTGTTTTGTGTACCTATCACATTTTTCACTATTCACTTTAGAAATGGGCATATGATAATATGATATGGTCTCCTTGTCCCATTTTGCAATGTTCTTGCATTGCTCAGATCATTTTTTTCCCCAAAGTATGTGTAGATTGTGTACCAACAACATTTTTGCTCCAAAATATATAACTTTACCGTCCCTTCAGGGACATCTGATAAAATTGGAACGATACAAAGAAGATATGTAACTTTACAAGATATGTAACTTTACAAATTGTCAGAATTGTCGGGTTCCCCATTTTCTAACCCAGATTGTTGGAATTGTCGGGTTCCCTGCGGGCCGATCCCGAACTGGGGGAGACAAAAGTAGAGAAATAGTTTATCTTAGACCATTTCGCACCGTTAACCTATTACCCTAACACTAAACCATACCAAACCGTGTTCACTCCTACTTTTCTCATGCATGCCTTTTTGGAACTAATACTCCCAAAGATGGAAGTGCACAGTTTCTGGTTTCTTGAGAAAACGCGTATGCCTTTGTTAAACCAAGATTTATTTTCTCCCATAATGATAAAACAATTCTTTTGATAATCCTTCAACACATGAACATCTAAACCAAGTACTACAATAAAAATACAGGAATAAAAAAACCGCCACAACAGAGAGTAACCAACAAGAACAAAAATAAACAAAACAAATGATTGAAAAACAGCTAAGCAGCACTTTCTAGATTTCCCTTTTTTTGCCATAATGAAATGTTAATGATATCTAAATATGTCAAAACTGGCTTTCATTTTATAATAAATAATCAGAAGAAAATAGAGCTAGTGGGTTATCTTCCTTTTGTGTTCCGCCATTGACCATATCACGCTCAAAGATCATCCTTGCTAGATGTAAGACCAAGGAGTTTATGTAGTTCACCACTTTCATAGGCATCAACAGTATCTGTGAATAGTAGCAATAAATGTCATATTGAAAAGGTCAAGGAGTCGGTAGAAAAGCAACCGAGTTGGACATGTTCCACAATCTTACCATCTGATCCTCCAATATGCTTTCCATTAATGAAAACCTGTGGTACTGTGCGCCTTCCAACAGTCTCACTGACAGCGCCCTGAATAAGCCATCCATCATCTGTGAACGAAAACTTCAAAGTCAAGCCAAAATCAATGTAACATTAGGACGCAGGGTCCAGTTTACCCATTCAAGTGTTTTCCCAATAAACATGAAACATTATCATACTCATCTGACCTGACTGGTCAGACTTCAGGTTAAATAAACTTCAAGCAATCCAGGACTACTGACAAAAATATTGAAAAACAAATTGATGCCCAAAAATATGTCTAAAGTCTAAACTAAAAGTAAAGGACGGACGAAATGACTTTTGATACAAAACCATCGTAGTTTCAGAAGTAACTATGGCGACTACACCAATTTTTTTACTCCGTACATTGCAGACACAATGTACAGTAGCAATAATTAATAATGAAGTCATAGTTTTAGGACTTTTAGATGCAAGTTCTATTATAGTACTACCTCCGTTCCACGAACATTGGGATTTGGGACGTCAGGAAGTCACACATTTATTAAGAAAACAAAACTATGTGGTTAGTAACAAATTTGTAAAGTATGACTAAATAAGAATTAATTAGAGCAAAGATAGATAGTGTGATCGACAGAAGGAGAGAGTGCAAGTTCATTAAACAAAATGCCCTACTCTGGGAGATTGAGTGGTTTTTGAAAAGAAATACAAAAGGGAAAGGTAACCCTTGGCTATAGTAATGCCATCATAGGAAAGTTTTATTTCATTATCTTAGATTCATTAATTAATTATTACGAATCACATTATAAGCGAACTTGGTTCATAAGTATAGTAGGCTGGCAGATATAGTTTGTGCTCAATCACGTTTGATAAGCTCTTAATGATAAGCTTATTGCCAGAGAAACCGTTCAAAACCTTTTATTTCTTCAGCATTTCAGCCTGTCACTTGAATGCTGCAAGGCTTCAAGCCATTGTCACATAGTTCGGAACGCTTCGATACAGGAACGCGGATTGCTAGGTCTAGCATATCCAGTTCAGAGGGGGTAGGTTCATTCCGGTACGCATTTGGTGCGATGTACGACATGTTCGGTACGTTGTACCTTATATTTTGGTACTATAATAAAACGGGAAAGTTCCCAAAATAGGACAAACAGTTTGAAAATTCCAAAATAGGACTGTCATGTTTTTTATTCCCAAAATAGGAGTAATTACTGCTAAGTTTGGAAAATACTGCCACGTTTGAAGTATGGTACTGTCAAAACATGACAATAATTAGTCCTATTTTGGGAATAAAAACATGGCGGTCTTATTTTGGAATTTTCAAACATTTTTAGTCCTATTTCGGGTAATATCTCTAATAAAACTGAACTACAAATTTCCTTAAGTCATAACATCAAATAAAAACGGATTTCATATTCATCACATTAAACAGAATAAAAAAACATTAATATTCCAGAAATAAAAAACATTAATATCCAACAAACTGTAAAATAGTACAACAATCATTATTTCAAATAGAAAAAAAGTACATCACTCAATTCACTCGAGTTCTTTTTCCTTTCCCCACATCTTCATCATCAAGATTCTCCCAAACCATGTCCTCTAGTCGTGAACTTGAGCCTTCTACGTATGTTCTTTCAGGACAAATGTCCCAATATTCGTGTGGACCGGCTTTATACGATTCTCAAAAACGTGATTGGAGTCGAATGTTGGAGTGAATGAAAACCAATTTGTCGGCTCTTTTGCAATTCAACTGATTTCTCTTTACACTATGAATGTAAGAATACGTACTCCAATTTCTTTCCACCGAAGAGCTATTAATCATTTCTGAAAGCATCTTCTTTGTTACTTCGGCTAATTCCGGTGTTTATGCTCCATAGATTGACTACCAATCTATCGCATCCATTTTCATGGTATCCGCTTGTGTTGCCATCATAAAATAGATCCCTTTCTTCATAGGGAATGTTGCAAACGGCTCTCGTAACGGTCTTTCCTCTTGTTGACTTTCTTCAATTTTTGGCTTCCATAACCCCACGTGCAACTTCTTTATCTTCATTTGGTACTTTTCTTGGAATACCACCGAGAGCCAATATTTCAAAATAGACTTTATCATAAAAGTGTGGGTTTAATGCAACCACCAAACAATGAAGTGGGATTGTCATCTTCTCTCACCTAGCTACAATGTTTTTTCAATATCCTTGTAATAGCAAAACAAAATATTATCTTCTATGATGTTCTTTATTTCACCCAACATGTTATCCATCCTTTCATAAATTTCGCCCATTTTTCGGTTCATCACCATCAAAAAACATTATTAGTAAAAAAATGGGTTTGGTAATTGTCTAAACATTCCTAATAATCCCAAAAGTCATCATTCTTAATTGTTCAGCAACATTAGATTCATTCATTCTTGTGTTTTCATCTCTAATTCTAACTCATTCCCCCCAATAATTGCATAAAATAGTGGTGGCAAGAGCCTCCCTACAATTCATCACTCTTTTTAACAATATGTAATGGGAAGCAAATTGGGTTTTCATAACCTTTAATAACTCCAACTTTGAATTTTCACGAAAGATAGATAAAACATGTGTATGGTTAATAAAATACTTATAAATTCCCTTGGTTCTTCTATACGTGTTTTGTAACCAATACAGTTCTTTTGACATTGTCTTTGAAAATTAAATTCAATGTGTGTACGCAACAAGGTGACCAAAAAATATGTTTGAGTACCTTCTCGGTCTCTTGTTCAACCGCTTTATAATTAGCGCATTATCCGTTACCGCTTGCAACACATTATTCGATCCAACGGTCTCAATAACTCAAAGTAGGAATTTCGAAATCTCAACTCCAGAAAAATCTCCCGCATACATGAGCATTGCACCACGCGAGTTCACTGCCATCACATTGATAATTGACCTATGCTTCACATTAGACCACTCATCCCAGACAATTGACACCCCTTGAGTGTATCACGTGTCTTTCACTTGCGTTAACGTTCCTAACGCATTTTCACGCAACACCGTTCTCACCTTTTCAATAGAAGGAGGTTTGTATCCATCCGAGGCCTTTTTGATAGCATTCATGATTCACCATTTCAATAAACTGCGGGTTGCGTAGAACATTGAATGGAACCCCATTTACACACAAACCTCTAATGATCTTCAAGTCAACCGCGTTTCTCTCCAATAGCCCGAAAGATTCTTCCAAGCGTTTCTTTGAGGATACATTTCTGGACTGTAGAGAATTCTTCAACGATTTTGCAATGTCACCAGCTGCTGCTTCTTTTACTTTATTTCAAAGGCTTTCGTATTTCTGCCTATCTTAAAGGAGTGCAGGAAATCTTCTGATCTCTGCCTTCTTCCTTACCGACGGCCCAAAAAAGTGAACATGAATTATTGTATAAGAACTCGTATAGTTCACTTTGTAGTGTTTGCAAATCCATTGTTTTGCACCTCCAGAGTTTTTACTGTCACCGGTGCCAATAAACGTGACTTCTTCAAGCAATGGTTTGGCCCCATGACTGGAAGTTGCATCCTTAGGTTGTGTAGCAGATTGGGTATGTTGAGTAACTTGAGTTTCTGGAATTCTTGTGGCACTATCAGCAACATTAAAGGTGACAGGGGACTGTGGTGTACATGAAGCAGACTCAAACACCATTTTCAGTGAAGAGAATAAAGTCACAAACGGATAAGGAGGCAGAAGAGTAGAAGAAAAAGAAGAAGAAGACTGTAGTACTGAAGAACATTTGGCATACAATTATACGATACGAAATACACCATTTTCTCTCCATTTATAACAGTTAGAAGGTAAATTAGATGAGTAGGATCAGAAAACGAAGAGCCTGGTTTGAAATCCGTACGCCTATTAGTTCAGGCGTCTGAAACGAAGCGCCAAACTGTACAAATATTTCAAATCTGCACATTCGTTTTCAAGTGATGATTCGCTTGTTTGAACGACCTTTACAATCAGGTTCGCGGGGGAAACAGTTGGGGAACAACCTGAAATTCGTTTTCGATCGAGTTTAAGGGCCTTGAAAACGATTCGAACAACGACTAAGATCATTTCGAATAGCGATTGGGATCGACCGAAAGAACATTCCATTTAGCGTTCCGGGTGGCGTCCGGGTCGCTTTCGTACCGCGATTGGGTACACAACATTCCATTTGCAGATCGTGACCTCCCCAGCGACTTATGTAACTATGCTTCAAGCCTTGGGCATGGCCTTATTCGAAGCCAATGGTGGAGAAGGCATTGACTGACTGGAGGGGGAGCGCACCTCGCTAAAAAAAGACATTTCTAGTGTTTCTGTGTTGTACAAATACTTGTCTATTAAAAAAAGTATGTTTAAAAAGGAAACGTTGGCCTCCATTGTTAAATTTTCAAGCCCAGACACCTAATACTACATTTGCAGCAAAGATCGTCCAATAACTCTAAGGAGAGCGCTTCCTCAACTAGCGGTTATCCTCCAAGACCTTGCCATGGGAAATGACAGCTACGCAGCACCCAAGGTCATTCAGCAAACCAATGTACATATTATAAGCAGTCTCCTACTTTGTCCAATCCTGGCTCTGCAGCTGGCCTCCACAGAGTCCTAGTTCTTTGCAACAATTTCCCCAAACTCACTAGGATAGCCATCCTAGCCCATTATTAGACATGCAGCTAACCATGGTGGAGTGATTATTCTTACAGAGAAAATAAAGAAAAGTCAAGATTTCTTAGAGCACGAGTAATGGGATTCTGGCCATTAGGATAGAATTAAGTCAGGGTTTCTTGTAGCTTAAATATTGGGGTTTATGCAATGGAAAATGCCATGTGTACACATTTTTGTGTACACACCCCGTACATTTTGTGAGTATCGAGAGCAATTCATTTGTATCACAGGTAATTTGTCCAAAAATGCAGAAGTTGTCGGTAATTTTATACTGCCTCCGTCCCATTTTGTAAAATGCAATTTCCTTTTATAGTTGTCCAAAAAATATGAACACTTTGCTAAATCGAATTTCACTGACTATTTACTTTCCCGCTTTATCCCTTTATCTATCGTTTCAAAATTCATACGTGGAGCTATTGAGATCGTTGGACCTAGTAATGTGGTGCAAGTGGTAACAGATAATGCGGCTAATTGTAAAGCAGCCGAACGAGAGATCGAAAAGGCACACAAACATATTTCTTGGTCTCCTTGTTGCGTACACACTTTGAATTTAATTTTCAATGACATGGCAAAAGAACTCCATTGGTTACAAAACACGTATAGAAGAGGCAAGTGAATTATCAAGTATTTTATTAACCATGCTCATGCTTTATCTACCTTTCGTGAAAATTTAAAGTTGAAGTTGTTAAAGGTTGTGAAAACCCGGTTGGCTTCCCACTACATATTGTTAAACATATTATTTAAAAAGAGTGTTGGATTGTAGGAAGGCTCTTGCCACCACTATTTTCTACAATTATTGGAGGGAATGGGTTAGAACTTAGAATCGGAGATCAAAGCACAAGAATGGAAGGGTCTAATGTTGTTAAAACAATTAAGAATGATGACTTTTGGGATGATGTTAGAAATGTCTTGGCACTTACTAAGCCTATTTTTCTACTAATAAAGTTTTGTAATGGTGACGGACCAAAAATGGGTGACATTTATGAAAGGATGAGTAACATGTTGGGTGAAATAAAAACATCAAGGAAGATGATATTTTTTTCTTGCTATTACAAATTTACAAGGATATTGAGAAAATTATTGTAGCTAGGTGGGAGAAGATGACAATCACACTTCATTGTTTGGGGTTTCAATTAAACCCACGATTTTATGATAATGTCTATCTTGAAAAATTGGCTCTCGGTGATATTCCAAGAAAAGCACCAAATCAAGATAAAGAAGTTGTGCTTGGTGTTATGGAAGCGTTCAAGAGAATTGCAGAAAATCAACAAGAGGAAAGACTGTTACGAGAACAGTTTGCAACATTCCATATGCAGAAAGGGATCTATTCCATGGTGGCAATACAAGCAGATAGCGTGAAAATGGATGCAATAGATTAGTGGTCAACCTATGGAAAGAAACATCGAAATTAGCCGAAGTAGCAAAGAAAGTGCTTTCACAACCGATTAGTAGCTATTCGGTGGAAAGAAATTGGAGTACATATTCTTATATTCATAGTGTAAAGAGAATTCGATTAAATTGCAAAAGAGCCGAAAAATTGGTTTTCATTCACTCCAACATTCGACCCCAATAACATTTTTCAGAATCGTATAAAGCCGGTCCACACAAATATTGAGACATCAATCCCGAAAGCACACACATAGAAGGCTCAAGTTCAGGACTAGAAGACATGGTTTGGGAGAATCTAGATGATGAAGACGTAGAGAATGGGAAAGGAAAATGACCTTGGGTGGATTAGGTGATGTACTTTTTTTGTTCGGATTAATGATTCTGGTACTGTTTTTCAATTTCTGGAATCTTAATATTTTTTATTTCTGGAATATATTATTTTGTTTAATGTTAGACTTATGATTATGAAATCTGTTTTTGTTTAATGGTTTGACTTATGAGATCTGTAATTCAGTTTTAATATAGTACCAAAATATAAGATACAGCGTACCGAACATGTGGTGCACCGTAACTAATGCGTACCGGAATGAACCTACCCCCCTTCGAACCGGATACGCTAGACCCAGCGAACCGCATTCCTGGTCCTTGTTCTCGTACTGAAGCGTTCCAAGAACTATTGGACTTTGTTGTTTCCTTCCACAATTTATGTATTGTTTACATTAAAAGAAATATTCCCTTCATTCATCATATATGGTGCATTTTAGATGTGTTTACTTCAAATTATTTCATGTAAAAAAAATTATACTATTTCATTAAGCAAAACACAGTAATATGATATATCTAAAAACTAAGAGGCAGAAAAAAATCAAGCGAGAACATACCCCTCTCATCAAGCTCAACAATGTAAGGTTTCAGATTCATTTCTTTAAAAACAGCCTTTGCTCTTTTACAGTATCTGCATAAGAAATGAGATTATTATTTTTTATCGAAAGAAATGAGATTAAAGGAGTGTTTGGGGTTGCTTAAAAAAAGCACTTTTCAGCTTTTGGCTTAAAAAAAGTTGAAAAGAGTGTTTTCAAATGACAGCTTCTACTTAAATTAATCACTTAAAAGCTAAAAGCTGGAAGCAGGTAGAAGGGTGTTTTAAACTGCTTCTCACTTTTTCTATTACACAAAAAGTACTTATTTTACCAAACACTACCAATTTTTACTTTTTCAGAATCACTTTTTTCTCAAACACTACCAACATTTACTATTAATCACTTTTCCCAAAATCACTTTAAAAAATCACTTTTTTAAAGTTGAAGCAATTGCAAACACTCCCTAATACATAAGAAAAATAATAGATTGTGCATGTTTTAGTAATTCTCTAAATTACACTACTGCACTCAGATGAAATTGCTTCACCTAGTGAAAAACCAAGAAGTTTAAAATGCGACTTAAATAATGTCATTACACTCATAGTTTTCACCTTCAACATATCACTCTTTTAGTTCTAAGAATCTGAGTACTTGACAAGAATAGTTGGATAGGATTTATAACATGAGCATGTGAAAACATCAATTACTCCAACATATTATCAAATTACATTCATGATTTGCGAAATGCACATACAACAAATACACATTTATAAATAAAAAAGTTTTAAATACATCCACATGATAATGTATCTTTATTTAAAACCTTTTAATTATAAGATTAGAATCATTAGATTCAAATTTTACTAGTTACGATCATTTTGACCTCCAATTAATGCTCACAGTGTATATATCTAATGTATTTTTATTTGTTTTATTTGGCGAAGAATAAGAATTAGAACGCAACCACTTTTTGACAGTACAATATATACTCTGTAGTTGAGAAGTTCAAATAGTATCAGAACGCAACCACTCTTCCTTCCATTGCAAGGATTTCTACGGCTGGCCTGTAACTCTAGCAAAATCTATACAACCAATGGGAAAAGCCTTCAGATTTACAAGTGATGCTCTACTACTATCAGCAAGAAGATAAACAGCATATCAATATATCAATCTGACTTCGACAAAGAGAATCCTATTGGACAAAAACTTCTGTGAGAATGTCTAGCTGGAAGAAGTTATATTTTAGAAATTGAGATGGTTGAATCCAATGTTATTAACAAGGATGGTCGACTCTTTATTCCATGTGTTTAGAATGAAAGAAGTTAACCAACAGTAGATTAATGGCTAAATCAATGTTCACATCCTTACAGCATTCTTGGCGTTCTACTTCTACGGTTCTACCTATACTTCGAAGTTTAAGATCCCCGCCCAAATAAAATAGTTATAGCGAAATATACCAACGATTAGGCAAAAAGCTACTCAAACAGAACTGGGATCTCAATGGACACGATAGAAAAAATGAAAAACGAAAAAAGAAAGTAAGCATAGAGCAACCAGTGAAGGGTCTAACGGGCAGTAGGACTTGGAGAAGATGACAATCGAATGAGAAGAAATTGTTTTCTTCACAAAGGCGGCTGCGGCTGCGGCTGCGGCTTCCTTTGGGGCATCTTCGAGTGATGCAGATGTTGCTGAGGCACGGGTAAGGGTGATCATGATTGTGAACCCAATCACAAAGAACAACGATAATTTCGTCATTCGAGAGAGTTGAGGGGGGAGTAGCAGAATTTTGGGGTCAAGGGGGATGAAATACTCCGTAGAAGAAACCTGGGAAATGGGAAGTGAAATGGGGAAATACTGCAATGGTGACCGGAGTACTATGTAACAGAAAATAAAAAAATGTAGGTAACTATGGGTCCGGCCCGGAACACTAGATCCGGATTACCTAAATTCGGGCCAGACTCGTATTGCTAATTTTTAGTTTTCAAAATATAAACTCTTTATAATGTTTGCTACTACGTAATACGTAATTAAATATAATTACTTAAAAAGTTATTTAAAGTTATTTTTTATTATTTTTTTCTAACTGAAAAAAAGAGAACTTTCTCTGCAGTAAAAGGAGACACTGTCCAGATGTAGAGCAAATTCAACGGCCTCCATCTGATCTCCCGAGCCTCTCTTCTTCTCTGATCTCCACTTCCGGCGACCGATTATTATCACCATTTCACTTCCAAACACTCACTGGAAGTTAATCGGGAAAAAATGTCGCACAGCGATACAATACCCCTCAACACCTCATCCCAATCGGACATTGATGAAATCGAGAACCTCATGTACTCCAACCCCTCCAGCGTTCTACCGGCACGGCCGCCGTCCCCTCTCCGTGCATCCATTCCCGTGTCTTCCTCCCCGTTCATACCATCCAATCTTCCACCACCTCCCCTGTCGAACGTCAAACCCGCCCCCGCCCCTCCCGTTCCTCAAGTCCCACCTCCCCTTCCTCCTTCCTCCCGCCCCTCGACTGGGCAGCCTGGTATTGATGCTTCAGGGTTCGGATCCGGCCCGAATACACTCACCGAGCCCGTTTGGGATACAGTGAAAAGAGATCTGGCGAGGATTGTCAGCAATCTGAAGCTCGTGGTTTTCCCTAACCCATTCAGGGAGGATCCTGGAAAGGCATTGCGCGATTGGGATCTGTGGGGACCGTTTTTCTTCATTGTCTTTCTCGGACTGACCCTCTCGTGGTCGGCATCGGTTAAGAAGGTATTGCACACACAAGCAATTAAAGCTATGAAACGAATGAACTCTACACGATGATTGGTTTGATGAATAGTGAGTTTCACTTCATTTTACTGTCCTTTGATGATATTGAGATGAGTCTTTTAAGAGTAGTGAAAATTAGGAATTTTGTTATGCCAATAGAAGCATATCAAATGTTAGCGATGCTAAGAGTACACATCCTGAATATGCAGTCTTGATAATAGGTTAGAGGAGTCAAGTATATAATATCTCTGTGTGGAAGAGCGATGAGAAATAGTAATTATGATTTGTGAAGATCTATGTATAAATACTACTTACCACTCCATGCCGTGATGCTGTCATTGCATATGTTGGGGATCACATCAATGCTCTTAGAGATGACTCCAAGTGCTAGTATATGGAGCTGTTTTCTTGAACTTCCAGCCTTGCATATTGGGTTTCACTACTTGTGAACTTATCTTCTGGTCCTGAGTGTTTGGCATTTTAAGACATCCTTCTACAACAAATACCTCACAAAAACTGTAGGCTTTTGTTGATGAACATATATGTGTGTTCCATTTTGTGATATTATGTTTATCTGCCATTATTTATAGTTGTATCAGCAATGTGACTCAAAATTATACACCCTTTATCCCAAAGACAAAATCATGTTACAATTATTTTTGGCTGAAAGAAAAAGCCCAATTCTAAAAGGTGTGTTTTAACTTTTAAGTAAAGTATCTGTAAAGCCAAGTGGCAAGCAGTTTTAGTCAATTATTACAATCAATCTTTGAAATATGCTCAAGGAAATCATTGGAAATTCAGAATTTGCAAAAACTTCTAGCCTTCTACATCTGTTGAGTTCACTAAATATAAGAAGTTCATCTTACGCAAACCCGATCTCCCTTGAACAGAAAGAGTAGTAACCCGCTTAGGGTTGGCAAATAGAGTTCATAACTATATTAAATTTACATCATACTTGCAAATAGAGTAGTAACGCGGTTCAGGGTGGCCAAATGTTGGAAGTATATAAATATTGTGCTTTTGCACGGAGTGTGATATGATTTTAGGTGGCTAATTGACACCATAAATTTTATGCCACCAACCGACCAACATCAATGCAGTTAGGACTTAGGGTTACTGTATTGAGGATGATGTTTAAAAACTTGAGATAGGCAAATGGATAGTAGGGAGTTATTTACATTGGTATGAATTTTCTTTCCCCTATAGCAGAGATTAATATATATCAGTACGATTTTTCCATTGGTTAGTCATATTATATGAAAATACTTCTTACATTCCAGTCAACAAATATTTGCAACTAGTATTGTATGATTAGTCTATTGTTACAACTTAAGAATATTTGCAAAGTCACTAATACCCCGTAATATTTTACACTTTCTATTGTGTGCATCTATGTCTTTAAAGTGACTTGTTACAATTTGCTTTGTACTACTTGTAACCAGAAAACAGCCCAGGGTGTATAAGCATCCTGGCACATGTATGCTACATGTTACAGAGCTTGCCAATCTCTTGTGCATTTTATCTAGTTACGTGTTAATATTTCAAGATTGATTAATCCTAATTTTTTTCTTCCTGACATATATATTGTGGCAGTCTGAAGTTTTTGCTGTTGCTTTTGCACTGCTCGCAGCAGGTGCTGTGATTCTGACATTGAATGTCTTGCTGCTGGTAATGATTTAGTTCTCATGGACATGCCAGATTCTTTTTATTTCTATAATACATGATATGCATGTAGGGACACAACATTAGTACCCAAAAAATGAGATCTTATTCTGTGAGAATATACAAAATTCTTTTTATACTCCCTGTACCTAAATATTCTCCACACTTCCCCCTTTTCACCTGCCCCAAGATTCTCTTCAATTTACTCAAGGAATCAATCATGTAGGCTTGTAGCTAATGCTATTTCCCTCTAAATAAATATCAGCCCTGCACTTTTCATTTTCTTAACCTCTGTGCTCAATCAAGTTGGGTTCCACTTAGGGGCAGATATATTTATTAAAGTATATCATGATCTCTGTACACTGCTAATGGAAGTGTTATTTATCGCAGGGCGGTCATATAATCTTCTTCCAGAGTTTGAGCCTGCTAGGGTACTGCTTATTTCCACTTGATGTAGGGGCTCTTGTCTGCATGGTGATGGACAATGTAATAGTTAAGTTAGTGGTTGTTGGTGTGACCCTGGCGTGGAGCTCTTGGGCCGCATATCCATTTATGAGTACGGCCGTCACTTCCAGTAGGAAAGCTCTTGCACTTTACCCTGTTCTTCTCATGTATGTATCTGTTGGCTTTCTTATCATTGCCATCGACTAGTGTATTTTTTGTTGTTGCTACTGACCATAAGTCCATAAGACAAAGAAAAAAATGTATAAGTTTTACAGTTGCATGAAAATGTTGAAAACAATTTTTTTGGCTGAGTTTCACCATCTCTGGATTATTATAACAGAATGAATGTAATGTGTATTAATACTAAATACTGGTGTTGCTAGTTTACTAGTATAGTTATGCCCCATGTGAACCTCTTCATAACTTTCTTGTGTTAGTTGATAATTGTAACAAAGTGATCCCTTGGATCAAACCCTACCGCTGTACTGCCATATACCTCACGTCCTCACTTTAGTGACATCTTTGGAATTAAGTAATTGAAAAGGCCTTAACTTTGTCAGCTGCAAATTCCTGGTGTACTTGTACATATCTTTCACCGTTTCCAACCTGCTTGCATCCTCATAAATATATAGGAAGTACTACACATAAAATATGTTGGCTGCTGTTAACCCGTTACCCATGGTGGCGATAATGATTTGGATAAAAAAATTCTTGTTGGGTAACAGGAGGTCACAGGGAAGGAAATTATCCAGGCGGTGATACGGCAACTAAGGTCGTGATGACACTAACTATTGGTCAATATATTGTCTTTTGAGTTTTGAATACCGTTTTAGTAAAATCTTGAGAAAACTATCCACATTTTAATAAGGAAAGCACATGCTCCAGTTGTATTCTCTTCTTAAACAAGCAGTCCTTTTACATCTATTCAAACACCTTAACAATGGTGGAGACAGGGAGAGAGAGTGAGAGACTAGATGGGTCTCGGTCTCTTAGAAAAAAAATATTAATGTACATATATTTGCAAAAATATTCATGATTTGTAAAAAGTAAGTTAAACTTTTAAGCTTCCCCCTCCTCTAATATACGGAGTACAAATTTCAAGCCCGGACTCTTACAACAAATCTCTGATTCCGCCATTGAACCTTTCCTTTGAATTGCATTGGCATGAATATATTTTCTTAAAGCTGGCCTGAATATATTTCGAAAGGTAAATACATTCAGAGTCACTATATTGGCATGTATGAATAGGCCATCACCAAATATATTACCTCAATAACAAGTGCAAAAACAATGTGCAACGTGCACAACTGAATCTGCGTAGTAATTATTGAATCTGCATGCAATTATTACATCTCTAAATCTCTAATAGTAATTTAAGTCGACATGTTACTAATTAGTAATGTAGTGATCAGGTTGAACACCTGAAACATAATTTGTAATAAACGTCCAACATTAGTTTGGCATTGAAATAATGGGTTTTGCTCAAATTGTTAAAATATCAATTAAAAATGGCTGAACTCATTGGAATATGATTTAATTTCTTAACAGATCAAAATATAATTGAAAATAGACCAATTTCAACAAAAGTTGTGACCTTTTCCCCTAATTTTGCTAATGCAGTTAACGTAGGGGTGGACCGGGCCTGGGCCCCACCAGGCTTGGAGAGTTATGGGTAAGGCCCAGAACCGGCCCGGAGTCTACCGGTTCCGGGCCGGGCTGGTTCCGGTTCAATTTTTTTTCTTTACTTTCTTATTTATTTGAACCCCCAAACCCCTCGGAAACACCCAGCCCAACTAAACCTAGCCCAAACCCAAAAAAACAAAAAAAAAAAGAAAGAAATAAAGAAAAGGCCTGAACCGGGCCTGGCCGGGCTGGTTCGCCTTTTTCAAGGCCCGGAACCGCTTACCCCCAGGGCCGGGCCTAAGCCGGTTCTGAAGAGTACCGGGCGGCCCGAACCGAGTCCATCCCCAAGTTAACGAAGTAATCTCTTTGTTTATGGATCCAAACAGCTTCGATCTTGAACTCCATTTTACTTAAACAATCGTTAACATATGACATTGAGAACTTGAAGGATTGATCGAACAATTCGTTGTTGACTCTCTCAATGTCATAGATGGATCATGGATTCATTCAGAGTAGGATGTAAGATAAACCAGAAACCAAATCGAGAAAATTGATTCAGATTTCAATTGCAAACCGGTTCAAATCCATTTCCGTTTTTATTTTAATTCATTAAGAAATAGATTGGAACCCGATCCAATTCCTTCCAACCCTACCTCAAATGACGATGGCTGCTTGTAAATTTAAAACTTCATTTGCTTCGTAAATAATGATAATGTCTTGCTATTTCCGTATTTTGAAATCTGTGGGCCGTGGTAGACTGGTAGTCTAATAAAAAAATCCTTCGAGATATCGAAATATCTACTAATTTTCTAAAAAATAATTACATAAATATAATCAAAATAAAGATGATTTACAAAAATATGACTAGTTACTAGAGTAGTAATGAAATCACGGTAATTTATGTTCAAGTTTTGAACTTAAATTACCACAATACTACGTTGTAGTAATGAATAGTCATATTTATGTAAATAAATTTTATTTTAGTAATATTCTTGTAAAAAAACTTGTATCTTACAATACCGATATTTCATCAGTTTCCAATATTGTTATCCTTCGTCTTCCAAAAAAATATTGTTATCCTTCGTAATATATGCAGCATACAAACAAAATGCATGCTTGGTAATAAATACCGATTAAATACAGCGGCGGCAAAAAAATATGAGAGTAAATCTTGTGCCAATAATCTAGTCTCCAAAAAGTGAATAAAATTTATGCTCAGTTGAAAGCTGTGATTAGTTGGATATTTCATCAAATAGAGGCAACCCCCAATTAGCTGGGTTGAAATCTAATAAAGAACTGAGAACTTGGTCAGCATTTTCATGGTGAGAGCTATCCAACCTGGGGTCAGGAACCATTACCACTGACCTGCAAGTAAATTTACAAAATCGGATAAAGACGATTCTGGCAGGAACTCAAATAAAACTACTACTTACTCTTTCATATGAAGTGAAAGTTGTTTATTTTTACATACAACTGTAAGTTTCTAACTGTGGGTCTAAATGAAAATAGATAAATAGCAGTATAGCACGAATGTTCAATGTATAGTTGTATACTCTTTCATATAAAACTACTACTTACTCTTTCATATGAAGTGAAAGTTGTTTATTTTTACATACAACTGTAAGTTTCTAACTGTGGGTCTAAGTGAAAAAATCAAATCATGAAAGAGAGAGTCAAAACTCAAAAGGCAAGTTGCATCATGACAAACTTTTATGAAGAATATTAAGAAATTGCCCAAAATATGAGTATTATGTTTTTATCTCCTAAAAAGAAGTAAATACTGCCACTTTTGGTAGTATACTATCGTGTTTAAAGAAAATTTACAGAATGACATTAATGTACTATTTAGGAAAGAAAAACATAGCACTCTTATTTTAAAATTCCGAACATTTGTACTCTTATTTTGGAAATATTCTGAATTCCGAACATTTGTACTCTTATTTTGGAAATATTCTGAAGAATATTTTACTGCTTTCTCTATCCCTAAATAATCATTATAATTTGTTTTCTTGTCCATTTAAAAAATATAGCCCATTTTTAAAATATACTACCTCCGGTTTTTTTTAATCTTCACAGTTTGACTTCACACAAAATAAGGAAAGAAATTTGACTTTACTGTAGAGTACACTGTTGAGGCACTGTTTGACACTGTTCGGCACTGTAGAGACACTATTTGGCACTGTTGAGAAACTGTTTGGCACTGTTTGGCACTGTTTTGATGTAGATTTCTTTGCCAAAAAAGGAAATAAGGAAGTGTGAAGTTTATTTTAGACCGTCCCAAAAAGAAAAGTGTGAAGTTTATTAAAAACCGGAGGAAGTATATCACTTATACATAAATGCCAATCACATAAGTTCGCTTTTTAAATCTTATGCCTTGTCCAAATGGGCAACAATTCCATGACAAAGTAAAAAATTAGTGAAACTTCTTAAATCAAACATTGCTCCATTGCATTGACTGAAGTAAATGTACCAAGTGCACAAGAGACTGGATTTTGTTGACAACTGACTTGTATTGTTACTAGTGCTACATGATGTGATTTGATGTTTTTCATTTAATGAATTACATTTTGAATGCATAGTTGCATACTAATTATTTTCATTTTTTGTAAAAATGAAAAAACGCTTCTCCTTGATACACTTCAAAGCAAAGCTATGGCATGTTGGTTTGACCATTTTTTTTAAAAAAACTTGGCAGTTGGCACTAAATTATCTCATGTATAAATACAAAAACCAACATATTATGCTTTCAACTACTCCTTCTGTGACTTTTTAAACTTAACTCTGAGTTTTAATATGACACCAAAGCCCATTAAGCTCAGACGAGTAATGAATCCAATTAAAATTCAACCAAGAGCACACAGATTCCATCATTGGTTTGATCCAAGTATCCAACGAACTACCATTTTACGGGCATATTAGGTGATAGTGATCCAGCTGTACTTGAAAAGGAGGATAAATACTTTGGCCGGGTCTATTCTAGAAGGAGGAAATAGAATTAGTTGACAGTTATTTTCTGTTATTAGCTATTAACTACCTATCGGTTAAGATGGGAAGATATAGTTGTCTCATTTCTTGGAACTCTCTCTGTATTTTTGTTCACCATTAATGGGAGCTATTACTGTTTCTTGATCTCTAAATTCTTACTGATAATCTACTCAATACCTGCGCTAGTTCTATCATTAGGTCATCTCACACTGATGACATATAAAGATATAAAGCAACATGTAAGGGTTTAGCTTACTCATTCTATCATGTTAACTTTTTAGGATGAAACTCTTAGTTTTGATACTCAAAAAATTAAATTTTAGTCACAAAACTCAATGATGCAAGTGTCACATCTGACTTACATGCCAGCATTCTTAGCAGCAAGAACACCTGATGGAGCATCCTCAAAAACAAGAACTTTATGCAGATCAACAGGTGCATCCTGTGAAAATGAAAGGTCAGGACCTAATATTACTCCATGGTCATATATTCAGTCATATCCTATATAAAAAAAAAGACATTGACATTTATTGGGAAAAAACCTCAAATCTTTTAGCTGCTGTGAGGAAAATATCAGGAGAAGGTTTCCCTTGTTTGACTTCTGGGTCATCACCAACAACAATGTGATGCATCAACGAAAAAAGTTCATCATGTTGTTTTGTTTTCAATTGAAAGTGGCGCTTGTGAGAGCTGCAATGCACATATAAATCAATTATGTCTCATTAAACAACATTTAGTATGAATGTTCAAAACTAAGCTGCTGAAATCCCTAAGAAAGAATTCACGCCTTCCCTTCCAATGCATTG